GAATTTCATATAAATGGAATGGAATCATATGGTACATATGCTTTTGTGAATGGCTTTTTTTCACTCAGCATGTTTTTGAGAGTCATTCATGTTTGCATCTTGAATTTTTCATTCACAAATATTTTAGAGGTTCATTTGTGTTTATTTATTCATCTTGTTTATTTTCATTTTTTATAGTATTCCAGAATACAAATACCAGGGGTGCCAAAAAAATACATACCAGTGGACACTTTGGTCAACATTGTTCAAGCAGTTCACCATAATCAGAAGTGTCTGGACGCTGATGGTAACTACTTTGAGCACCTCTTGTAATTGCAGAAGTCAAACATGACTTGTATTCATCTTTTGTTATCGGTATACATTGAGTATTACAATTTTAATAGTTTTTCTTGCTTAAATTGTGTATACATTTTTTTGGCACCCTTCTGTAGATCATCATATAACCCTTTTCAAATGGACATTTGGATTTTCTTTTTAAAATATTACAAACAATGCTACAAATATTCTTGTACACATCTTCTGGTACACGAGCAAAATTAATTTCTCTATGGTAGGAGTGGAATTGCTGGGCTGTGGAATAGGTACATGAGCAATCTTACTAGATAATGCCTGATTATTTTCCAGTGTTTTAACTAATCCATACTTCTACCAACAATGGATAAAAATTTAGGTGAGAGAGAATTAAAAGCAAAGGAACCTTGATCTCATTTAGTCCAGGGAGCTCCTAAATAGTCAGTTTTGATTGGCTTATGATGTACAAGAACTATGTCCCCCTTATGGGAGGCAGCAGGCGTTTGGAGAACTGTGGGAATGTGGAAGGAGCACTGTGGATGGTTCAGGCCATGACATCTTCCTTGAGGTTTTCCACGAAATATATTAGCAAAGAACAAGGAGAGGAGGGTTAACAGCACTGGTTAATGAAAGAATACTGGTTTAGGAGTTGAGATAATTGTGTACTAGCTCTAGCTCTCCCACTAAGCTGCTTTTCACTCAAAATGAATTGAGTACCTACTATGTGTAGGCCCTGGCTTTACAGTGAACAAAACTGGCATGGTGCCTGCTTTCTTGAAGCTTACAGTTTAGTAGGAGAGAGAGGCATTAAACAAATAGAAAATTACACAAATTTGTGGTAAAACGCTATCTAGAAAAAATTGAAGGGACTGAGAAAACAACAGAGGACCTACTTTAAATAGGTAAGAAGCACTCCTCTTTGGAGGAAATAATATTTAAGCTAAGATCTAAAGAACAAATGAGCTAGTCAAGTGAAGATCATTCTAGACCACAGTAACACATGTAAACGCAAAAAATTCAACCAGTGTCGCTGGATCCTGGAGATCAAGGGAGAGCCATACAAGAGGAGGATGGTAAGGCAACAGGTGCCTTTTCCCCAGGAGTGGAAGACAGATACAGCAAGATGGAGGTGGTGGTGGGTCATTAAGAGTTCTGATTTAGACATGTTAGGTTTGACATGACTATCGCCTATCAGACATCTAAGTGTTCGGTAGGCATTTGGATCTATAATTATGGAACTCAAGAAAGAGACTTGGGATAGAGATACCGTTTCATCAGTAGGTAAATAACTAGAGCAAGGAAAGGATGGCCATTACCTAAGGCGAGAGTACAGAGACCACTTGGTTATACACTTTCTGTAAGTCTCTGGGTAAACTTCCTTGTCTTAGGTTTCGGTTTCGGTTTCTAACATGGATGTAGGAACTCAATGGTTTATGGAGCCCTTATCAATCTAAAGTTCTGCAAAGGCAACTCTTCTCATTGAGCTGGGGCTAATTCTAACCACCCTAATGCCATCCTAAAACAAAACAAAACAATCAGAAAACACTGGGTAGTTTAAGTTGAACTGGGAAACATCTTACCACAAAAGTTGGAAATCTTAACCCAAGCCTTTCATTCTGCGGATGCAAAAACGTTAGTTCCTGGGTAAGCTACAGCAGTGAGCAGGTAAGCCTGGGCCCAAGCTGATCGTTATTGATCAATCAATCTACTAAGGTAAGCACGTGGACGAGGAAAGGGGGGAGGGGGGAATCAAAGTCACTTCTAAATGCAAAGAAAATCTCATTCTGGGCCCTAACAGATCTATCTGGAGAATCAGGCCTATCTCATGCCTTGAGGACCTACCTTGGGGGCATTGTGTCCCACGGGGACATGAGGTCCCCTTCGGGATTTCATTGCAAACCGCATGATTTGCCTCTTCACAAAAATAAATAGCAGTACAAACACCTGTCCAAAAGATATGAGAGAAGAACCTTTAATAAAAAGACAGTGACAAAAACAATACATGCCTTCCTTTCAAATTCCCAGATTCGGGCTCTCTGGGATGCTTCAGGGGTATAACGTGGGGCAAAGCAAGGCTGTCGGAGATGGGGTGAATAAAAGGGAGCGCGGAGGCGTGGGGGTCTGCGTCTTAGGATTTAGAGGGAGGGTTCTCGGCTAGGGGCGGGGCAGTCCGAGTCGGTGACATGCTCCCAGGTACTCCTGGGACGGGAGTCAAAGCCCAGAAAAAGCGCAGGTGAGTGGGTGGAGAATGAGGGCAGGGAACAGCTCACGAGGAGGGTCTCTACTGGGTTAGACGCGACAGCAGGAATGGGGTGGGGGATCTCACCAGGCTCCCGTAGGCCATCACCAGCACGACATTCACCCCGGAGAGCCAGTTACTGCTGGACGCCATGGCCTCCCCACCCCGCGCAGAGCTGCTCCGGTTTACCCTGCTGCCCTCCTCGTCAGCCCGGGTTCCGCCTAGGCAACGGCGCCTGGGTTCTCTGAAGCTCCCCGGCCATTTCCTTACGGGGAAAGACCAAGGCTGACCCGGCCAGAAAACATGGCGGATGTGGGGGGGCTAGGAAAGAAGAACGACGCCTTCCCGCTTCCCCTCAGCACGTGACTCAGGCAGGCTATGGCACCCGCAAACGGCCAGCGCGGAGACGCGGAACTACGCCAGTAAGAGGAAGCGGAGGCCATCCGTACGTCACGTGGCGGGGGCGTGGCCCCCGTGGAGGAGGCGGGGCTGACGCGCGGAGCCGGAATGAGGTGTCTCGTGGCGGGGCGGCACGCGCACGCTTGCGTGCGCGTCCCTTTTCGCGTCACGTGCTGAGGGACGCAGGAAGGCAAGTGGGAGGGGGAAGGCGCGAGAGCGAGCGCGAGAGGAAAAAGAAGGGAGGGGGGCGGGGAGGAGGGAACCTTATATCACGTGACAGGGGCGGCGCGGCCCGGGGTGTCAGTGTGGAGGAGACTGAGGTAAAGTTGGGAGCGCAGCGGCGTTGGCGACGGCGGCGGCGGCAGCGGCAGCGCGGCGGGGCCGGGTATTGTCCGCGGCCCCTTTAAATCCGCGATACCCCTTTTACCCTCCCTCCTTTCTCCTATCCTCACCGTATCCCCCACCCTCGGTAGGCCCCCCCCACACCGTGTTTCCTCACTGTACACCCCCCCCAATCGTGCGAGCCCTGGCGCCCCCCGAGTCGGCCGCCGGAGGTTTTGTTTATGGTTGGGTTCGCGGCCTAGTGGGCCTCACCAGAGCCGGGGCCTCGATTTGGGAGCGTGGCCGGGGCGGGGCTTGGGGCAGCCGGAGGGGGGGGCCATGCGGCTAGAGCCTGAGGTGGCGGAGAGCGAGAAAGAGCGCGAGTGAGCGCGGCCTGGGCCCCGCCTGAGGTAGGGGCCCTCTCTCTGCCCCGGTCGGTGTCTGTGGAGAGGACGAGGGCTTCTCCTCGCTTTCCAGCACTCTGCGGGCCTCCTCTGATCCGGATCCGGCCCGGTTTGGGGGTGGCGGGGGGTGGGGGCAGGGAGGGCGATGGGGTGGAGCTGCCCCACACTCCCCCATGTGGCCCTCAGTTTGGAGTGCGGAGGATTAAATTGTTCCGGGTGGGAGGTGAGGAGGCGATTGGCCCGGTGAGCTCCCGATGTGGCGCTGAGCGGGATGAGCCTCCCATCCTCCACGCGTGGGCTCGCGTCCCCTCTCCGTTCCCAGCCTCTTTGTCAGCTCCTCTTATTACCCTTCCTTCTTTCTCACCGCCTCAGCTCTTGGGATCTAGATCTTGCCGCTCTCTTTACCTTCTCCTTGTCCATACTGTAGTTTGGGGGACCCCCACACAATTATGCTATTTTGGGAAGCTGGACACGGAGGCCCCCATCGGGTGCATTACGCCTTCGGGGACGTCACTAGAGCACTGGGGTATTTGTTCACTCTTCTCATAATGGGACAGGAATTCCAAATTTCTTAAGACTCTTCGTCCTGTGGGCAGTCCCTAAATTGCTTTGCAAACTGATGTCACAAACGGGAGACTGCTCCTTTTCCACCGTGCTTGAAATGTAGCCACCTCTGGTGTAGGATGTTGTGGAAAGAAAAACACCACAGGAGCAGGCCTTTTTGTTGTTATTGAGATCGTTTTTTGCCTTCGACTGTCCCTGATGATTAGATGGAGAAATCCTTTTTTGTCTTCTCTCCATCCACCGCCCATATCCTGCTCTGGGGCTCTCTGATGTGACTTCCTGGGAGGTGATGAGGGTCAGTGACAACCAGCGTTACTGGGGACTGAAACGTTTTGGCAGAGTATGGGTTGAGAAAACTGCTTTGAGATCCTACACCATTGTCCTTAAAGATTAGACTATGCCAGTGATTATTTCCGTTGTGAACAGGAAGTATTTCTGGCATGTAAACTAATGATGAAAGGCCTTAACGTGTACTGTTTTGTCTTTGATTTTTAAAGCCCCTCCTTGTGAATTAAATACGTCCTAACTGGGAACAACTCTTCTTTAAAATTACTTCAAGTTGATGGGCACGGGGACGCAGGGGCCTTTACCGCAAAGCATCTAGGGGAATTCGTTGCTACGTTAGAGGTAGCAAGCCTTACTCACGCCAGTCCAGCTTCAGAGTTTCTGAATGGTTTCTCAAATTAGATTGTAAGCTCCCTGAGGGCAGCAACCAACTCATATTGCTTTTGTATTTCCTAAAGTACTGGACACGTAGTAGATACTCAATAAATACTTGTTATTTATTTTTTTCTGTAAAATTTCTCTGGCTATTTTTTTAAGTAGCTGGTTTTCAGAAAATGGTCAAGGGCACTCCTGTGTTGAAACCTGTATTCGTTCCCACACTATTCCCATGGTCTCCAATACTTCTCACCTATTTCCCTTAAATATTTTTATTTTCTAAGAAAGAGTACCTAACAAGATTCCTCGCCTCCACTGTGATAACTCTGGGTATGTCTCTGCTTGCTACTAAAAGGCTACTAATTCTGTGCCCTACAGTGATCCATCCCAGATAACTTACCTGTTGCTCAGTGTTGTTACTACTAGGTGGTAAAATTTTCTTAGTCACACATTTCAAAGCACTTGTGAGAGAAATGGAAGTTAATTGCAAGAGTAATCAGGAGGATTTTTTTTTCCTTTCCTGAGTAATTATGTGGCTTTCAAGATGACTTTTTAATATATTTACATCGATTGGTACAGTATATGCAGTCGTCCGTATAGCTTGTCATGCAGTTCATATCTGTAGTATAAATCATGCTCACAAATTGAAATCACATGTGGAGTAGAAAGCAGTCAATATTTGTGAGTTATAGGAGTGGCTACTCCCATATTTGACACTACATCTTAGAGCCAGTTAGTAAGCATAATGGTTTTCTTCTAGTTTTAATTTTTTTTTCTCATTGATTTGAATCCAAATCAAACGGGGATTTTTTGTGTGTGTGTTTTATTTTTAAAATTTTTTAATTTTTTAATTTTTTGTAAATTGTTAACTTGACTATATTATGCCAGCCTAGGAAAATAGTCTACTGTGTAGCAAATAATATTGTACTAGCTAGAAATATTTATAGGCCTTTGTGTGCACATGTGTGTAGGGGGAGAGGTAACGGTTAAAAATTAGTCCTGAAGTTTCTTTAAAAATCTTTCTTGGTGATCCAGGATGTAGAACTCTTAATTCTTAATGACGGCATCAAATAACAAAGACCTATGTAATCTGTTAACCCAACTTGGTAAAGAATTTATCCACAGGGGAGTCAGCTTTATTGTGACCCAAAAAACAGGTGAAATTGACTTCCCTAATAGTCCTTGCATATTTCTTTAGAAACCCACCTTACCTTGCCCTCAAATCCAGCAGTGTTTTCTGGGCAGTCTAGAATCACCATGTATAACGTATTATTAACCAAAAAAATTAAATATAGAGCATAAAAGTATAAACTTGTACTCTTTAGAAGGGCACAAGACAGTGTAAAGTAACCTCTTATTTTGAGTGCTCCATCATATGGTAAATGTTTTCTTTGTTGACTAAATGCAGCAGCTGAGATTGCATTATAAAGCAAAGTGTGAATGAAGGGAACTTTAATTCAGTAGAACCCTTGTTAAAAGTGTTATGACAAAAACTGTTCTGGTTTGGGGAAGCTCCTGTGTGTTCTGGGGTCTCTTTAAAAGACTCAACAAAGTCATCTTGCCTGACAGTAGTAGTGTCTCATGTACAATATAAAATCATTTCCCAGAAGCTTTTTCTTCCAAATAAAACTGTGCTAGATGCTTTGGGTTTGGGGCAGATTTGGGGTTCTCTGTATATTAAGGTGAGTGGTGGAGGGTAATTACAATTCTGGTTTCTTGGAACTGTGGATTAGGGGACCAACAGAAGCAGCTGCGAAAGCAGTGTGTTGGAATTATTATTCAGGGAACTGAGATTCTGGGCATCGTTGGGGCTAACACATGACCTGTGGAATGCTATGGAAGCCCCCACAGCATGCTGAGAGGTAGAAACTTAAGGGAGAAAGAGGCTAGACTTGAACTTATCCTTTTCCAAGTGATGGAGGTCATGTGCAGCTTATATTAAACGGTTGTAAGGTAGGTAAGGCTGCTTTCATGGGTGGATTGAGTAGTACTGTAGTTAAATTTTTTTTTTGTTTGGAGTATAGACTAATCCCCTTCCTGGAAGGCCTTTGTTTCCAGGCTTTGCTGATTATCTTTCCTTCTGTCAAAGGGGCTTTAGCTATTTTCACCTATGTGGAAGACTTTGATTATCAACATTGTTTTGCTTACTATCAAGATAGCAAAACTACACAAAACCTGCTTAATAGGGGGCTAGTAATAAAAATGTGCCCATAACTTTTTTAAAACAATAAAACCATCACTTAACACATCCTTTATATATTTTTTGTTATACAAAAAATGGATTTATAGCCATAGTTCCATAAATAATTTATCAAACTAAATATGTGTGAAGAACAGGTGAATCTTCTTGGTTTCTTTGAAGAAATGAAAGTATTTGGTGAAGGTGCTGATGAAAGAGAGGTTGAAAACATTTTGCCCACATTTAACATCTAAACTTGTTCTTTTTAATCTTTCAGTACTCTACCTTGTAAATACTGTTATTTGTATATACTGTAAATGATGACGTCGGTGGGCACTAACCGAGCCCGGGGAAACTGGGAACAACCTCAAAACCAAAACCAGACACAGCACAAGCAGCGGCCACAGGTAAAGAACCCAAGGGATATGGATCAGATCCATGGGTAGCCTTGTGTGGTTGATAACTGGTTTTCATCCAGTGCAGCATCATTCTGTGCTTTGGATTATTGATTTGGGTTCTTTATTGTTTTCCTGTCCTTGCCTCTTTTTACTTGGGGCCTGCTAACTGTTAATGACATGCTGTGATGCAGCCATGCAGCGTGCTTGCTTTTTGATGTTTAATATTGAATTAATGAGGTTTGGAAAGAATGAGTGTTGTGCTTTGTATCTCTGATATAGCATTCCCCTTCTTTCATCCGGGTCATTTTAGCAATATATTTCTTATTTCCTAGACTTTCCACCTTAACATCTCTCTAGCCCACCTTTGTCTTGCCACCTTTCTCCTTTCCTTTGCTCTTCTTTTCTCTAACTTGTCTTTTATTTTTCTCTCTGGTCTCATTGAGGCCTAATCTGATTTTTCCTTTTTCACAAGGAGTTAGCATCTTTATTATGTTCCTTCAAAATTAACAAATGAGGCACCCTAGAGTATTGCTCGGTTTTAAGGAGTAAATTAGCCTCCTGGGTACTGAGTTTTATGGGTTGGGTTTTTGTTGTTTTTTTAAGTTTAATTTAGGTACGATCTATTTTCTATAACCAGTTTGGTGTTAGTTGGTACTTAATGTGAATGAATTAACTTCCCATTTGGTTAGGGTCAGATAAATTGAATATCTAAGACTAGAACTTTCCACTTACTCGTTTTTCTTTCATTTTTTCCTTCCAAGTGAATTCCTAGGAAAAGTTTAGTACTTAAGTACTTTAGTGTCTCAATTGGGATAGTAAAATTTGTGGTATCTTATAAACACACAGTGGATACTCAGAAGACATGCTAAGTCTATCCTTAGATTAAACCTTAGAGTGTTCTCAGACCAGGAGTAGGAGGGCGGCATTGGTCATTGCAGAAACAGCAACAGGGTCTACACGTGTCTTTGCAAATGCATTAATGTGAAAAGGTGTAGATGTTTCAAAGTGGTGCTGTGATTCCCAATATGAAAGCCTCTTTAACGGTGAACATTGGTGAAAAAGCTTTCTGCTTTTTAAGGGATTGTAGAGTGAAATAGTGACAACTTTACTCTTCGTTTTTCTATCATTTTGCTGATTTAAGCATCTTAAATGGTGTAAGTCTTATTACTTGGTCATTTGTAACAAGGAGAAGGAAATTGGGGTGGGAGGTAGGGCGGGTATTGACTACATAGGTTCCTCTTATTTTTCTAAACTGTTGTCTGTTGATCACACTTTCTTGCACTTCGTCTCAACTCTTAGGCCACTGCAGAACAAATTCGACTTGCACAGATGATTTCGGACCATAATGATGCTGACTTTGAGGAAAAGGTGAAACAAGTGAGTGTATTTTCTGTAAGCTGTGGGAAAAGACGTCAGGACAAAAGCATCGTTAAATAGCATAGATGCCTACCAGGGTACTTTGTACTGTAGGTATTAAAAGAATTATGACCTGAAATATGGTAGATTAAACCAATAAATAAGTGCTTTTATTGTATCGTTTCCTGTACCCCATTTGACAGATCCCTTGTTCAAAGAGGTTTTGTCTTAATTTTAACAAAAGTTTTGTTTAACGAATGACTTTGATGATGCCATTTTATAGCAACATTGAGCAGTTGGGGCATCTAGGAAATGTAGAAATGTACGGTATGCTGAAGCCTGTGTTTCTGCATTTGGTTCTCTATTAGATGCTTTATTATTTGATGCTTTTTTTGTAAATCCTTTTGACTCCATTTTTGAACACAGGTGTTAATGTTTTGCTTTTGGAACTGGGACACCAAAATTCTGCATATTTTGCTTTTTTAAACCTGGTTCTTTCAAACTTAGCTGGTGTGTTCTCTCTTTTCTGTTCTTCCCCTAGTTTCCTTTTGCGGGGAGTGCAAGCTTGTTCATGATTGCTGCTGATCTTTCTCTTTCAGTTGATTGATATCACAGGCAAGAACCAGGATGAATGTGTCATTGCTTTGCATGACTGCAACGGAGATGTCATCAGAGCCATCAACGTACTGCTGGAAGGAAACCCAGATACGGTAGAGTGCTAATAAAATGTTCTAGAAAGTGGGTCCCTGGCTGAGAGGCTAGTAACATTCTAAAAATAGCAAGTGGGGTAGCTCAACTTAAGGCAGAGTTCCTTATTCTCCAAATAGAACTGGGAACTACCTTGGATATTGTTTCCTGCAGGTTGTAAATGCTTAAAATTTTTGTACAATAAACAGGAGAAAAACAGATAAAATCAGTCTCTTCTAATTGTCCTGGAATAAATTATTCATTCCAAGCTAGTGACTGTTTTCAAGACTGGGTTAGTCTGAATTAGAGGTGCTACTTCATAGCTTTAGTAACTAATCATGGAAGATTTCTGCTCAACTATTGCTATGGAGCAAAGTCACAAACTACTGGGTTCTGATTTCAGGATGTTCCCATCAATATCAGCTTTACATTTTTCAATACCTTTTCATTTTGGGAATTTATTTTTGTTGAGGTAGCAGAAAAACACATTTTATAGCCTGTTGACCATCCCTGGAGATGATAAGGGGCTATCTTGCCCTAGCATTTAGAGTTGCTTTCATCTTTTCCTCTCCTTCCCACTTAATGAGAATCCTGTGTTTTTGTGCTTGTCTTATCGCACCAAATTGTAAATCCCTTAACAACAGGGATTTTGCCTTACTAACCTTTGGGATATTCCTGCAGTGCTTAGTAGAGAACTTTATTATTTTTTTAAATGAGCAGTGTATCATTTTTGAAGTCATTTTCACTTATTTGATCTTACAGTGGGAACCTTTGGTTGGGATAGATAAACAGAGTTCATCCTTAGAGTGATCAGCTTACTGATGTTATAGTGTCACTTTTTTAGCTAAATGTTGTGGAGGTTTGTCAGTTTCCTTGAGACAATAGGAAATAATAGTGGAAAACTTCTTTTAGTCATTGAATTTTCACTTGTGGCTTTTTCTCTTAAAAAGTATGGTCCTAGGTTAGATTTTACATTATTGACTTTGTTTGAAAATTACTGCCTAGATAATCAGGTAACAGTGCCTTTGGTCATTTTGAGTTCACTTTAGCATAACTGTCCCAAGACTTTTGGTGGTGAGGCAAGAGATGGGAACTATGCCTGCTTTTGAAATGTCTGAATTTTTTGCACAAGTCACACTTTGTTTTACCTTCCAGCATCTTCTGCCCAGTGCTACAAGTCTGACCTTCCACTGTATCAAAAAAGGAAATAAACTGGAGAATGTATGCTTTTGCATACAAGTAAATTAGCTACTAGTGAAACCAATGGGAAGCAAAGTCAGTTGCCAGGGATGTTAGATGTATTTGGGTGGACGAGATTATATCAGAAAACTGGCAGTACCTTTGGGAAGATCATAGTAATCCACTTTCCTTGTAGAATTCATCTAGTGCCAGCAGCTGATACATACAAATAGAGGGAGACGGTGACAGGTTACTGAAACTTGCCAGGGTTTGAGGCAGACTACCGTGTTTCCCCAAAAATAAGACCTAACCAGAAAATAAGCCCTAGCATGATTTTTCAGGATGCTTGTAATATAAGCTCTACCCCAAACATAAGCCCCAGTTAAGATCATCAGCCAGGCATGACTGTTTGAATAAATGTAGATCTTTGCACATGAATAAACGAATAAATGTAGATTGTTGGAGCCAAAATTAATATAAGACCCTGTCTTGTTTTTGGAGACACACGGTAGCAAAAACTCTAAAGGCTGACTTCCAGGATTTCTGATGGCAGATTTAGCTATAGGGTTACTATAACTTATGAATTGCAGCTACTATGAGCATAAAATGACCCACCAGCTATATTATGGAATCAGCTCGGATTGGGAGAAAGCAACAGGGAGCTGCCAAGTCCTAGGTGTCTACTTGTTTTTTAAATATTACTTTTGTAAACTATTACAGGCTTTAGAATACGTGGATATGCTATTGCTATAATTTTAAATTTACCTTTTTGAACTTAAAAACTTTAAAATTGTGGTAAAATATTCTTAAAATGTACCATTTGAACCATTTTTAAGTGTGTAATTCAGTGGCATTAAGTATATTGACACAGTTGTGCCACCAGTAGTGACTGTGCATTACCAGGACTTTCTCATTTCCCAGACTGAATCCAAAATGGATTTTCTGTATCCATTAAATTGTAATTCCCCATTTCCCCCTCCCACCAGCTCCTGGTAACCGCTTCTATTTTCTGTTCTTATGAATTGGCCTAATCTAGTTACCTCGTATGAGTAGAATCATACAATATTTGTCCTTTGGTGTCCTATTTCAATTAGCATGTTTTCAAGATTTATACTGTGGAGTGTATCAGAATTCGACTCCTTTTTAAGGCTGGATAATCCAATATACTGTATTTTGCCGTGTATAATGCGCACCCACATTTTTAGCCCAAACTTTCAGAGAAAAAAATCTTTCGTTTTAATTTTTTAATTCAAATTTTTATTTTTTTACATTTAGGCACTTGTGTTTGTATTATAAAGGAATTTTTGCATTTATTTTTTAACATTATGGTACAAGAAATTTTATGTAACAAATAATTAAAAAACACGAACAGATACAAGATACAAGAAATTTTGTGTACTGGTAATAAATTTACGATATTTATGCGTAATAGAAGGCTAAGTAAGACCTCTCTGTCATTGTAAGATGGTCATAAGTTCAACAAAACCAATTATTGTATTCCAGAATATGACTTTGCCTACGAATATCGTTATTGATTTTTGGAGTTACACTTTTAACACAAAAGTAAAAGAATTAAAAACATTTATATAGATAGGGAATTAGTACTACCCATGTATAATGCGCATCCTGATTTTTCCCTCACACATTTGGGCAAAAAGGTGCACGTTATACAGGGCAAAATATGGTATGTATATACCATTTTGTTTATCCATTTGTCCATTGATGGATATTGGCATTATTTGGAAGTGAGTTGTAGGCATCATAACATTTTATTCCCTAAATATTTCAGCATGCTTCCCTTAAAGAAGGATATTCCTTTTATGTGACTACAATATTATCAACCCTGAGAAAATTAATTTCATATTAACTTAGTCCATATATTTTTTTTTTTAGCTGAGCCATCCTGCCACCTGTTGGCAGCTCAGCGGCAGCTCAGCTCACGCTGGGAATCGAACTGCTGTTGCTTACAGCTCAAACTCTTGAGTGAGCTCTTAACCAACTGAGCCACTTGGCCGGCCCTAGTCCATATTTTCTAAAGTTATTAAATATTAGATAGCTGTTGTTGATCCCCATGGTCATTGTTGTTTGAGTTAGATGATAACTAGTAAAGATCTTTTAGTCTTGGTGTTTGTCCTGGAACTTTTATTTGTACATTTTTTCTTTTTTTTAATTTTTTTTTAAAGATTTTATTGGGGAAGGGGACCAGCCAAGTTGTTGTTCCTCAATCTTCGTTGTGGAGGGCGCCAGTTGCCATCTGGCTGCCTGTCGGCAGCTCGTGGCCTCTAAACTCAAGATGCTGTGTTCAATCTTAGTTATGGGTGGGCGTAGCCACCATCCCATGCGGGAGTCGAACTAGCAGCCTTGTTGTTGATAGCGCACGCTGTATTCACTGAGCCATCCAGGCGGCAGCTCAGCTCAAGGTGCTGAGTTCAGTCTTAGTTGTGGGCGGGCGTAGCCCACCATGGAGCATGCAATCTTGTTGTTAACACCAGCTGAGCCATCCTGCCACCTGTTGACAGCTCAGCTTGGGCGCAACGTCACTGGCCCATGTGGGAATCGAACCGGTGGCCCTATTGCTCAGAGCTTGTGCTCTTAAGCCAACTCTTAACCAACTGAGCCACTTGGCCAGCCCATATTGTACATATTTTCTGAAAAAATAGTGTAAATCAAGGTATGTGTTTGTTTAAACTTTATAAAACTCATTTTCTTTTAAGGAATGAGTGTTTTGCAAGACTGTTTAGCTTATTTGCCTTACCACAAGTTTTCCTTCCTGCAATCTGGAATGAATCATAAATTGTTCTGCTTTGGGGAAAGTTTAATTGGATTATATCATTTAGGAAATTTAGGGAAGAACAGAGTGGATAAAACTTGAAATGGAAGGCTCCCTGTAGTCAGATGTCTCAGGGCCAGGGCTCTGCCGTCTTGACTGCTATTTGGTCTTTTAAGTAAGGGAAATTGAGAGGTGCGGTAAGGTGGGGACGTAGGTATAGTTGTTTTCCTCCTATTAGAGAATGTGCTCAAGAGTCAAATGCTGCTTACTCATTCTGAATTCAAAGTTAACTTTTAGAAACTTTCAGTTTTCTTTTTTGCTTTATTTGACATGAATAAGACTATAAAAAGTTGGGAGTCACTGAATCCAAAGGAAATTCGTTTCTTCAGCTCAGGAAATGCTTTTGAAAGATAGAGATTAGTAACTAGATCCTTTGACTAATACAGAAAGTGACTGAACTGGATAGGGAATTTGGTGATCCTTTGGAATGTAGCTACAAGCACCTCTGCCACAAAAAAGACTTCAGTTTTGCAGTGATTGGTATCGAATTTGTTTTGAGGTCCTGTCTGTGCCCTCCCTCCCTTTAAACAAAAGTAAACTAGGAGTTTCTGAGACATGGGTGCTGAGTGGACAATGGTTAACAGTGGTCTCAGCTTTTATCTCTGGTTTCCTGATAGCACTTGATTGATTGCATATGAATGCTCTGCCCTTCTTTAGCATTCCTGGGAGATGGTCGGGAAGAAGAAGGGAGTCTCAGGACAGAAGGATGGTGGCCAAACGGAATCCAACGAGGAAGGCAAAGAAAATCGAGACCGGGACAGAGACTATAGTCGGCGACGTGGTGGGCCACCAAGACGTGGGAGAGGTGCCAGCCGTGGACGAGAGTGTATGCATGGGGCTTTAACAAAACCAGCTGTGGGTCAGTAATGTCTAGATGTCGGGGACGTCAGGGCCCTGCTAGGCTGGACCTAATAACCATTATGTCACCTTTTTGAGTTTTCTTGCCATCTTCTGAGACCTTAGCATCCCTGACATGAAGCCTTTTCTAGCAACAGCCGTTTGGCCTGAAATGCTGCTGTAGTCATTTGTGAAGTTGTTTGACTTCTAGCTGTCTGTTGTGGTTTATCACCATTCCCCTAGGAACCATCTTGGCCCGTCCTCCTGTCATTTTCTCTTTGATTTTGTCTTCCCACCAACATACATACATACCATTCATATATTTATGCATATTCTACTGACTTTGCTCTGACAGTGTGTGTTTTGTTTCCCCCAGTTCGGGGTCAGGAGAATGGATTAGATGGCACCAAGAGTGGAGGGCCTTCTGGAAGAGGCACAGAAAGAGGCAGAAGAGGTCGTGGACGAGGCAGAGGTGATTAATTTGTAATTCACATGGAGTCTGGTTACTTTAATGGTTGAGGTGTCATGCAAATTTTAGAGATTGCTAAGTGGACAGTGAGAAGAAAAGGTGGGTGTCATTTCCCCTAGTCTTTATTGTTATTGTATTTGCTGAGGACCCAGAAGTTTTATCAGCAAAGGCACAATCTGTCAAAGAGTAATGAGTGTCCTACTGTGTTACATTAACTGATGCACTACAGAGTGAGAGAAAGAACATCTGACAATACCAACCACTTACTATTCCAAAGCTGCCTCAGTTGGCAAGGTAGTTTTGTATCTGCTTGTAAAACATTTCTCTTTTTCTCTTTCCATAGGTGGCTCTGGTAGGCGGGGAGGAAGATTTTCTGCTCAAGGGATGGGGTAAGTTTCATTGATCCAATGTCAAAGTTGTTTCCCCCTAAGGATCACCATAATATCATAGTGTGGCTAATAACCTGATATAGACAGCCTTAACCAAAATGTGATTAGAAAGATGTTTAGACTATTTAATCAGACAGTTGTGTAGACTTAGGGCTTATTTTTTAGGGAGAAGCATCTACCACCTGGATCATTATCTCTATTTCATAGATTCGTTTGAATGATACACCTGCTATCTTCCCAAAATCTTTATGTGGATTTTATTGTGATTATTGGTGTCCTAACCCAAAATGGATAGTAGATATAAATTGAGATTATGCTATGAAATTTTAGGTAGGCTGGTAAGTGAGAAAAAGTTGACAGCATCCAGGATTCTAGAAAGGGGCTATGGTTGATTCGTACTAGCAAAGAGACAGTCAACATTCTGATTAAGTTAAGTTTGAGTGATGTTGCTTAGATGTTGGAGACTCTTAAACTTTATTTTGTTGTTGTTCACCCCCGCCCTGCCCACCCCAGAACCTTTAACCCAGCTGATTATGCAGAGCCAGCCAATACTGATGATAACTATGGCAATAATAGTGGCAGTACGTGGAACAACACCGGCCACTTCGAGCCAGATGATGGGACGAGTGAGTGACCATTTATTATTCGTATCTTGTCTCTTAGGAACCTAGGATTTTTTTTTTGATTTTTTTTTTTTTTTTTGAGATTATAGTCACATTAAAAAGTGGAGGAACAGTTTTTGGGTGCAGAGGTAGGGGGAGAAAGGAATAACAATTACTGTGTGTTCTCTTTACTTATATGTGCCTATGGGCACATTATACGAGCTATTTCACCTGATCTTCATCACTATTTTATGAAATAGACATTATTTATCATCATTTTGTAGATGACAAAACTTAAACTGAAAGAGTGGTTATGAAATTTGCTAGTATTTGAACTCAGAATTGTCTGACTCTACAAGCCCATGCTCTTTCCATTATATCACGTGGCTGCCATCAGCTCCAGTTGTATTTTCTAGTGTTTCTGCTAGGGTAGCTAGCTTTGCCTTTTGGAAAGATACGGTGAATTAATTAATCGGGCCACTACTTGTAGAGATGAACAGGGTCCAGAATCAAAGCCCATCGTCAGTTTTTTTCTGGTACCTAGATAGGAATTTCTTTTTTCCCTTTATTTTCGGGAAATCTCAATATCTGGGCAAGAAAGAAATCTCAAGGCTTTCTAACTTTCTTTGTTGGACAGTCTTCTGGGTATGGTAGAGTATTAATGGGATTTTAATAGGATTGCTTTTTCCATTAGCTGACTTTGGTGCCTCTATTCTTGATAGGTTGTATATATTTAAGGATTCGTTAGTCTTGTGAGATACACCATGATGTGTTTGGGAGTGAGCGATACTTTTACTGCTTCAAATAAGAGTGCCTCTGAGTTCCAGATTACTTTCTTCTTAGGCAATCAGCTACCACCTGCTGGCTGAGCCAACACACACAGTCAGACATCCCCTACCTGCTCCTGGCTGAGCCAGCACACACACACCGTCAGACTGTTTTCCTCTTCTAAAGGGGGGTGAGCTAATAGTAGAGCATGAAGTAGGCTCTTTGATTTCTTTTCCGCTTAAATTTGCCTTGCCCCATTTAAAGATCAGTGATCTTTATCTCTGTCGATAGGAAGGTCTTTGGCACAAACAGCTTCTCATCTACTGTCCACAAGATGTTAACACCTCAGGTCCTAAATGTTACTTGCTTTTTGTTTACCAAGCTGTCTTATAAATTCATTTTGAATACAGCTTGCCCATTGGTGGAGGCTAAAGTTGAGTTATTGGCAAGATAGATCTTTTGAGTTCCCTTGACCTTTTCTATTTTAACTTCCTATACTTTGGAGGCATTAGAACTGCTCTTTATACATCTCTTAATGGCTTTGTAAAGGCAGTGGTAGCATTCTGAATAACAAAAGTTACTGTTTTTGAGCTCTAGTTTGTTCTTGGTTATTTTGGCTTTTTATCATTGGCAGAAATGATGATAGAAGGAAGTTAAGGGATTTGTTTTCAGTTGTGGATCAGGCATGGAGTCCCATTCCTGGATTGCAAGCCGTAGCTGTTTTCAACACGATCTGGTTGGAAAAGCAGGGAAAGATGAGGTGTGTGTTTAACTCCACTGAGCAGATTTGGGAAGCTAGAATCAAATCTGATTTATGAATAAAAAATGATGTGATACTCCTGTCATCTTGTTGGGTATAACTTCATTCCCATCATCGTTAATTTCACAATATGAACTTGCCTTCATGCATGATCTCTTTTTGTGTTTTCATGATAGAAAACTCAAATTCCCTTTTTAATTAAAAAAGAAATTCAAACCTACCCTTAAAATATCCACAGGTACAGTGGGCATTGTGTATTAGGGGCAGACGTTTTCATTCACAAGCAAAATTTCACTGGTTGTTTTTTTCTTTTCTTTTCTTTTTTGTTTCAGGACATGATTTCATTGGGGTTGAGGGGTCAAATTATCCCCGAAAATTTGAGACTGCTCCTGGTATGATACATCCAGGCGCCTAACTGCCCCGGATATTTTTATAGATTTTTATGAACTGAAATATCTGTGGATATGTCATTTTTCTGTCTTCCCGCTTTTTCTCTTTCTGCCCTTTTCTCACATATTCTGTGGCCGTTTATGCTTCTTAAAAATTTTGTTCATTTAATGAATATTTAACATTGCCATTGACTGTGCTTTCTGCTGATGGAATGGAAACCCTAATCAGTTGTTCAGGGCATTTGCACTTTTTCTGTTCCATAACGCTTCCTTAATATAGACCTCTTCCTCAGTCATTTTCATATATCCTGTAAAGGGAAATAGCAGCTAGGAACCTACACTGTTCTTTTCCACCCCAGGTACATTTGCCAGAATGCAGAAAAAAAATCTTGCATTGAGAGGTAGCCTCTCAATAGTCGATAACTTCTCAGGTCACTTCCAGCTCTAGGATGGTGTGTGTATGTGTTAACCCAGATATTGGGTTCCATCTCGCCAGGGTGGGATGGATGTCAGCGGGGAGGAAGAGCGGTGTCACTGGAGAGGGAGAGGAGAACGTGGTTTGTAACTTGTCTAAACTGAGATTGGGCTTCGGATTGATTCGAAGAACATTGTCCTTGTTAAGTGGTTTGGAATTTCCCTGGTGCAATTTTCACATTGTCCTGGGAAAGGCGTTACAATGAACATATTTTTCTCTAGGAAATAGGATTTTTCATTATTAAGCGTTTAGAAGAATTTCAGATGGCTTTTGTAGGTGTTAGAATACTTCCGTGACAATGAAATATCTGAATGCCAGACTTTCTTTATTTTTGTAAGAAGCTTTCTCCATTTGGAGAGAAGACTTTAAGAGTTATTCAGTATATACTGTTCTAGAGGAAGAAATAAGGAGTGTTCTTGTCCTATCTACAGATAGGTTCTTATTTCTTACTGTGCTCCTTTGCTTGATGGGAAGAATCCGGTTCTCACTGAAACTCTCCCCTGCATTCCTTAAGAAAGGGCTGTGTCCCTGTCTGAGGCGATCTGTATACAGGAAGCACAACAAAGGCAGTGTGGAAGGTGGTTTGATGCTTACAGATTTCTCCTGTAGAAACTGTGTCCCAGTTTCATTACTGCCAGCGTGAGGAGAGTGTTACAGGTCAGCCTGCACCTGCCCTGTGGTTAGGATTAGGACAGTAGTTATCACACACATTTGATTTTTCAGTCTCGTCCAGTGTCTTCAGAAAAGAGCAGATCCATAGGGAGTCCTTATAGCTAAACCAATGAGATCTATAAACTTGTGCTGAGTATGCATTTTTAAAAATGCAGTTCCGGTAGCAGATAGGTGTCACTGCCGTCAGTATGGATTTCAAGCCTGCCTTCTTCACTGCCCTTTCCCTATCGTGTGCACAACCATTTGTGTTTCTCTGTCACTGCTGCTGTCTATCTTCAGACTGCATCTCTGCTGTAGTATTGTCTTATACCAGATAAATGGGTGGCATTTTGTTCTGGTTTAAATTGGCTGTTGCCATCTCACTGAATTGACCACTAAGTCAGAAGGCTGAGTGTCTTAAGAGATTGCCGGGAGCATGGAGTTTGTTGGGGTCTCGCGCGCTCTCGCATTGTCTTGCTCGCTCTCTTTGCTGTATAGCTATGTAACAAAGACTGAAAGTAGCTGTGAAAGCATAATCTTACTAAATGCTGGTGTTCTCAGGTATCCCTTTCTAAATAGCCTTTTCCTCCCTCTGAAGCCCAAGAATCCCTTCTGATTACTAAATTCTGGTTACACTTTTGGCTGCCAAAAATGTTAATAGATCAGTGTCCTGTGCACATACGTCGTACTGGCACTTAAAGCCACCGTTCTCCTTTTTTTCCAGGTGCATGGAGGACTGCGACAGAGGAGTGGGGAACTGAAGATTGGAACGAAGATGTAGGTATTTCCGCGTCATTTTTCTTCAGTGCCTTCTATCCCTAAGTGGTGTTTAGGGATAGAAAGTGGGTATGTTTCTACCCCTCAAAATTCATCCTGAAGATTCTGACCCAAAACTTTTACATCCAAAATAGTGTTCTGAGCCAGAACATTTCACATATGTTATATGAAGGAGGCTGGGCATGGACAGGACTCTGTGGAACCAGACTATGGAAAGGGCAAGTGCACTTGTGTAAGTCCAATATCTGATTGTCGGATTTACCCCAGGAAGAGATGGTGGTTGGGTAGGGCGCCGGAAATTGAGTTAGGCAGGTAGGGAGTGCATTGAGGAACAGCTGCTGGTGGCACACGACTCTGCTTGGAGCACTTCAGTTATTTGGTTCCCGTTTATGCATTCATGTGTGGTTCTGTCATTGGCTTGGAGGCGGGTACATGGTGAGAGCTACAGTGCCAAGTCCTCAAGTTTGTAATCTGGTTGGCTCTGGAACCCTTTTAATTTACTGGAAGCCCAACTTTGTAAGTGAGGTGAATATGTAGAATTGGCTATCTTTTAGCCTGACACAACTTGGAAACCTCATGGATGGGTGGCACAGGTGGCACGTAAACAAGCTCTTGAGTTCATTGGAATGGTACCTGAGTAAAACAGCTTGGCTGATTGCTGGTCACAGTCAAGCTTTTGCTGTGAATGAAGTTTTCAATGATCATGGATGAACTCCCATTTTAACGTTTTTTAATCTCTTGTATACTCATATATATTCAGGCAAGACAGCTTTTATGGAAAGAGGAAATGATATGTCAAACTGTTTTGGTTGCTATGCCTGAATTTTTTAAATTTCAGATGCCTGAGCATCAGAGGGTGGTTATTTTCTGTTGTAGCTGAGCTGACTGCCTTGTGAATGTTTTCTAAGATTTGGCTCGTCTGCGTAAGCCATTTTCAGAGAGCGATGCATTTGGGAAGAGTGGATTTCCTGATTTTAGAGAAGAGATTTTAGTCAAAGTCAGCACAAAACCAAATCAGGTTTTGAAGTGTGAAGAGTTATCCCCTACAATTGCTTACCTAATTTTGGTGTCTTATAGTGGGGAGACTGGGTATAATAAAGACAGTATTTAGGCAAAAATTGCATGTGGTTAAAATTATCCTTGTAAAGACCTTAACTCAACAGCACTGGACCCTTACTGCTCAAAAGCCAAGAATTAACTTCTTTTCCATCTTCATCTTGGCTGTCATCTTCCTTTGAGAGCGTAGTGGAAGATAAAGTATGGTTTGGGTAGAGGTGGGAATGGGGAACTAATGGGAAACTTTTATAAAGGGGTTTCCTCTGTCTAGCATGTGTGTTCACCGTCTTGTAAGTTTAGTGTGCATATTATGTGACTCCACTATTTTTGGGGGTTTTTGATTTTGCCCTCACTGTTAATGAAGTCATTGAGCATATATAGAAGGCGCTTGCCAGTCTGTTCAGGAGTCCTCAGAGTAGTTTTCTCTTCTAGGGTTTTCCCTTTTTCTTGATGAATCCCCCTTACCTATGCCAGGATTCTGACTGTTACCTGCCTAACACCAGGAGTGACTAATTCCTCTGTTTTCCAGCTCTCTGAGACCAAGATCTTCACTGCCTCTAATGTGTCTTCAGTGCCTCTGCCTGCAGAGAATGTGACAATCACTGCTGGTCAGAGGCAAGTGTGTGGTAAAATTCAGTATTGTTTCCCAAAGGGATCTGCTGACATGGGCCATTCCAAGCTCCCATGGTGTTGGTAGTAATGGCAAACAAATCATATTAAGTTCCTCTTTAGATTTATAAGAGCTGATTCTAGTTAATCTGAATGGAAGTCCATATGTTACAATTTGAAGGTTCTCCCCCAAAATAGCCCTTTAATTACATAGGTCAGCATCACAGGCATTGAATAAAACTTAGCATGATATAATTCGTCTTATAGTAAGGTAAAGAAAAACTACGGCGGAAATATTTTCATTTATTTCTGAATTTGCAAACTATTCAATAGCTTATTCTCTTGCTTTATAATTAATATTTGTCCACTGAGCCCACTGAGTATAGTGATCATTTTTTCCCCTAGGACCTGGCTAATGAACTTTTTAGAACTTGAACCTAGGTATTGGGGTCAGTAGAAGGAGATAACACTCACTCATCAGAGAATATTTTTATCCGCTGAAAACCTCCTGGATTATGTCTCTGTCTGGGTATGATAGCTGTTGACTCAGGTCCTGAAGAGAGGTGTGATAGGACTAGGATGTTAGGGATGTCATTACTAGAGGTAATGTGTATTTTTTTTGACACCAAATAGCTGTCATTTTTCCACACCAATTCTGCTGTTCTCTGACACCGACTAAGTGTCCAACAATTAAGTTCTGACACTTAACTATCCACAGCTAGCACAGACCCACGTTAACGGCTCAATCCCACAGGACTGCCCTTGCTTCAGAGGTCAGCTGCAAATGCATGCCCAGGCTACCCGCACACTTCTTCCCAGCTGACTATAAATTTGGTGGTGTTCCCACAGCCCCCTCCTCAGGTTCAGTAATTTGCTAGAATGCCTGACTCAGCAGAGGTTTACTGGCTTTTGCTGGTTCATTATAAGCAGTACTCAGGGCCAGCCGAGTGACACGTTAGTTAAGAGCTGGCTTGAGACGCCAGCTCTGAGCAGCAGGGCCCCGGTTCGGATCCTACATGAGGGCCAGTGACGCTGTGCTCTGTACAGCTAAGATGGTGAACGACAGCTCAGCCTGGAGTTGGGCTGCCGTGAGTCACCGGCGTTGGCTGCAGCGAGCTACTGTTGAGTGGCTGGCAGCTGGCCTGAGCTGTTGTGAGCCGCTGTGAGCGGCCATCCAATGGCCGGTGAGCAACTGCCTCACCTGGGAAAAGCGCAATGATAATATCAACATGGGCAAGTGAAGTGACGTCCTCGACAACTAGACTGAAGAACAAAAGGACAGCAATTTGTCTGTTCCCCTTCCCCGATTCCCCAATAAAATCTTAAAAAAAAAAAAAAAGCAGTACTCAAAACAGCCAGATAGAAGAAATGCACAGGACGAGGTATGGGGGAGGGCCCAGAGCTTCCATGCCCTCTTTGGGTGTGCTGCCCTCCTAGCACACTGCTGTGTTCACCTACCCAGAAACTCACTGTGTCTCATTGTTCAAGAGTTTTTATCGAATACCTAGTCATGATTGATTAAGTCATTGGTGATTGAATTCAGTCTACAGTTCTCCCTAGAAGTAGGTGGAGTGTGGTGGGGCTGAAAGTTCCAAACCTCTAATCGTTGGTGTTGCTGCTCACCAGATCCCTTTCTGAAGCCATGTGGGAGCCTCCCACCTTGAGTGACCTCATGGTTGAAAGGGGCTCATGATTTACAAAAGACTGTCACTCAGAAAGTTCTCAAGAGTTTTTGGAGCTCTGTGCCAAAAACGGGGGCGAAGCCCAAATATATATTCTTATTATACCATTGGTAACTTGAAATTTTGTAAACGTTGGGAAAGAATTTTCAAAACCTTCTTTGTTCCAAAGCCACTTGAAGATGCCAGCATTCTAGTAGATGGTTTTACATATTAAATATTCTTAATGATGTATTCAGTATTAAAAAATCGGTTAAAAATTAGGAAATTTTGGTCCAATTATTGGGCTACTGTGTTAAAGTTAACATTTGACATTTCATTAAATTAATTTCACGAAAATATTTAAATATAACATGGTTGGCAACATCATTAGAACATAGATATTATAGTGGCTCTTATACATTGATTATTTTTGGTAAAGGAAGCATTTCAGGGCTTTGTGTTTCTGGGTAGTGACTTTAACCGAACTCTGAGTCAGGTGTTGAGGAGTGCTAGAATGTTCATTTGTTACTCATGAAGACCCTGTGTCCTCTCCACTAGAATTGACCTTGCTGTTCTGTTGGGGAAGACACCGTCATCCATGGAGAATGATTCATCTAATCTGGATCCATCTCAGGCTCCTTCTCTTGCCCAGCCTCTGGTGTTTAGTAACTCGAAGCAGAGCACCATCTCTCAGCCTGCTTCAGGGAACACGTTCTCTCATCATAGTATGGTGAGTAGGAAACACGCTGCATCCCAGGCCAACTTTCCTGCTAACCCAGCACATAGAGCAATTCCAGTGACAGTCAGAGGTTTCGGGCAGGGAGAGCATCCTCTTTTGTCCTAACGGCCTTGTGTGTGGAGATGTTGACTTGGGTAGTAGGGGATAGTTCTTAGCCCCTACTCTAAGCCCCTAAGGGCTCAGCTTTGGACGTGCTGAATCTGGTAAAAAAATGAGTTTCCATCATTCAATGTGCTGAACACTGTTTTCTATTCTTGAAGACAAAAAATCAATGACATCAACAATTTTAATCCGTTTGCAGTCCTATTTAAACCTTGATGGGAGTTGCAGTTCCCTATTTCTTGACAGCAGAATTGCCATATATTTTTATTTAAATCAGACATTTCTGGACTAGGCTTCCAAAAACCTTGGGTCTTCCGGAACCTGCCCACTTCCTGGCTGTTTCTCCCTCTCTGTAGGTGGGGATGAGTGCTTGCTCTGCCTATCTTACAGAGCTGTAGGAAGAGAAGATAAAGAACATTTTTTAAAATTCAAGGTCATTAACTATGGCAAAGGAATCATTTAAGCCAAACAAGGACCAATTATAGTCAGGAAGTCTTAAGTATTGCTTTTTCTTCTTTTTTTTTTCTCTTTGCTTTTCCTTTCCTCTATTTTTTAGTGGAGGGCTGTTATAGTTGTAAGAGGCAAGAGACCAGGTGTGTGCGTGTAATTTTATTTTTAATAGGTTTATAGTAGTTATTTGAACTAGAAAACCGCTAAGCTAGCCTCTAATGGAGAATTCTGTCAGTTTTTAACTGTTGTCTTAAAATGGTTTTTTTGTGTCAATAATTCGGTGGTTGATGTTCTGCCATATATGAAAGGTGACAAAGTGGAAGAGGTAAAAGGGAGAGTTGTTGGGATTAAAAAGAGAAAGTAGAGAGAAAGTGGGACAAAGGTCATAAGAAGGTGACATGAAGATCAGGAAATAACTACCAACCCCTGAGAGAAATGACTGGAAAATGTGGTTAAGTGCCCTTGTGTCTCTTTTAATGGCCTTTTTAAGGTTTTCACATACTTTCACTTAACCCCAACATTCTATTTAATGTGTGTCAAGTGGTATGTTAAATTAAGCATAATGTTATTCTGTTCTTTCTTATTACCTATATAATCAATTGCTATTCTATTTAATGTTTCTTTTCCATTGATAATAAATGTTAGAGGATTAATTTCCCTTAAAGTGTAACATGTAAATAATACAGGAGCCCCCTATTAATTATCGTGTACGATATAGGAACATTGGGTCATTTTTTATGCCTTTAATGCTTTGCACTTGCAGTGTGTTTGGTAATCATCTGTCACAAGCCTGTACTTTCAACTAGACTTCTGATGTTTTTGTTTCTCTCATCTCGGGATATAGTCTGAAGTGGGAAAAAATGCTTCACCTTGAGTCGGACAGACTGATTTTATATAAGAAAGCCCTGCTCAGTCATGATGATGATATGGTTAAGAAATGAGATTAAATCTCCTTGGAGGTTTCTTAGAAAGAGCCAAGGCCTCATGGTTCACCTGGACCCGGCTGGTAGTTTTACTTGGAGGTAGGGAATGGGGAGAGTCCCCCAGAAGCATTGAGAGTAAATTTGCTTTCTTATCAATGACTGCCCTGTAGAACTTGGATACACACAGCACACAATCAAGTGGTATGGACGCATGTGATTGGCTAATGCAGAAGTTGGGGTGCCCCCTCAGGTTGTGCCTGCCTCTGTGCTAGTTCTTCGCAGCATTGACATGAGGCTCCAGTTCATTGTTTCGGTTCCTTTTGAGCTGATGGCTTGAGTGAAATTCTATCTTCACGTTAATTTAGTAATCAAGTATTGGTTGATTTAAAACTTTAAAACGGGAAAAATTCCTCTGCTCATTAAAGCTTTATCCCTGAGATGAAGAGAGGAGGAAGTAACGATAAGTTTTAATAGCTTTTGAGTGCGTACTATGCACCATGTACATATTAAATGCTTCATGTGCATTATTTGTTTCATCCTCCCACAACTGTATGAGGCACTGCTTTTATTTCTATTTTCAGACAAGGAAAATGAGGTACAGAAAAATTACTTGTCTACGATTACTTAGCCAGGATTTGAATCTAGACAGTCTGATTACACAACTTGTGCTCTAAATAGACTGTGCTGTAGACTCAGGCTGGTTGGCGGTCTTGACTCGCTTCATTTCTGCTGGCCCTCACCCTGGATAAGGGTCTCTTTGAGTAGCTGGCTGTGGATCTCTCTAATCTCTGTGTTGGTCTGCAGGTGAGCATGTTGGGGAAAGGATTTGGTGATGTCGGCGAAGCCAAGGGCGGCAGCACCACAGGCTCCCAGTTCCTGGAGCAGTTCAAGACCGCCCAGGCCCTAGCTCAGCTGGCAGCGCAGCACTCTCAGCCTGGAGCCACCAGCTCCTCCTCATGGGACATGAGCTCTGCCACGCAGTCCCCATCGCTGGTGCAGTATGGTGAGAAAGATGGAAAGGGGACTGAATTCTTAGGTGTGGGAGCATTACTGTCAAGAGGCTGGCAGGAATAGGGGGTGGAGACTGTGTCCACAAGTGAGAAGGGCGGCCAACTGGCTAATTTCCCACCCTGATCTCCCCTCGTTACAAAGGCTGAGTTCAGAAAGCTGGGAAATGATAAAAAGTTGAGGCTATAAATCTTCCATCAAATCTAGCTCAATATGTAGTTCCAGTCTTCTGTTGACCTGGGGAGTTTGGTGTTTTGTTTTGTTTTCTTTTAATTATTTTTTATTATGAAATACACATTTTTTAGAATTAGTTTCAGCTGTACAACACAGTGCAACAGTTATACTTTTTACCCTTCAAAGTGACAACCCCCCTCCCCCAGACCTGGGGAGTTTTTGCAAGGCTCTAAATTTATCTTGAGGGTTTGAAAACAGCATATTGCCTTCGGAAAGTTTCATGGACTTGGCCTTCAGGACTGCATACTCCAAACACAGTTAGTTCCTAGATTCCTGTCCTACACAGGTGAAGTGGTAGTGCTGTTGCACTTAGGCTGTACTTAGAACAAATACGATCTGGTGATTTTCACCATAGAAATGAGATTAAGCCTTAAAAGGACCTGTTCACACAGGGTTCTGGCTCCTGAGGGCCTAGTTCATGTCTCTAGAGCAAGATAAGAGCATTTTCTTGTGGTTCACCAGCACCTGTGGCCTTACACTTACTGGGCTTTCTCATGCAGATTTGAAGAACCCAAATGATTCAGCAGTGCACAGTCCTTTTACAAAGCGCCAGGCTTTCACCCCGTCTTCAGCCATGATGGACGTGTTCCTTCAGGAGAAGCCGCCCGCGGTGGCCACCTCCACAGCCGCACCTCCGCCCCCCTCTTCTCCTCTGCCAAGCAAATCCACCTCGGCTCCACAAATGTCTCCTGGGTCTTCAGACAACCAGTCCTCCAGCCCTCAGCCGGCTCAGCAAAAACTGAAACAGCAGAAAAAGAAAGCCTCCTTGACTTCTAAGGTACTTGAATGTTTTGATAGAAACTATCTTAGGGCAAGGTGCTGGAGGATTTGGGGATTGAGGCTATAAAGGCATGGTTTAGAATTTGAAGCAAAAGTTTTATTAGTCTCACAGTAAGGTTGCAGTAAACCCTGGCTTCCTCTTCTCAACAGATTCCTGCTCTGGCTGTGGAGATGCCTGGCTCAGCAGATATCTCAGGGCTAAACCTGCAGTTCGGGGCTTTGCAGTTTGGGTCAGAGCCTGTCCTTTCTGATTATGAGTCCACCCCCACCACGAGCGCCTCTTCAAGCCAGGCTCCAAGCAGCCTCTATACCAGCACGGCCAGGTAGAGGAAACAGCAGTCATAATTAGGACTGCTTTTACCACTTCTTTTAGTTTCTTGATGGTTTCTAAAACTCTGGGGAGGCCAAGTCTCTGTCTGAGTGAGGGAGAAGTAGCCAATTGTAGCATTTTGTAGAGCACTTTAAAATGTTTTACTAGGATTATCTGTAACTGGAAAGAAATGCACCCCTTGAGTCCTTCTAGAATGGCCAAGAACAGTTCTCACAGAGTGTACAGCACCTCTAACGGAAAGCACCTTCGCACCTTCCACAGCTGAAAATACCTTGGGCCCTTTGGTGTGGGGCTTATGCCTTTGAGGGGTATGACTGTGATCTCCTAGGAAGGCGGTAGCATTGATACATGAGTATTACACAGATTAAAAGGAACCTTCCAGCAGAACCTTTCCTACTCCTCTGATAGCTACCAGGGAGGGCCACCTTAAGCATTAGAAAACCCTGGAGGAATTTCAGGGGACTGGGCTGTATTTCTCGATCCTTAGAATTTAAAAATATAGCTGTGGGGCCCTTGCCTAGATCTATGGAATTATAATTGTCATTAATGCACGTGAGTATTTTAAAAGTTCCTCTCAGGAGAGTTCTACCAGTAGCCTCACACCTGATGCGTTTTTGAGAGCTAGGGGCTCAAAATTCCTTAAAATGAATATGAGCAAAAGATGACTTTCCTGTGCGTCAGCTTCATGTTAGGATGAAGGGACCAAAAATGTATCTGTCGTACTGACGTTTAGCCTCTTTCCTCATAACCAGAATGGAGGGGACAAGGCTTGCTCTCCCTTTAAGAGTTAAAAATGTTTTTGAACTCCACTCTTGACTCAGATCCCTGGCTTTCTAGGATGTGGAAATGCCTCCTGTTAGGAGAAAATGGTGGCGGGTTCTTTTATTTGTTGCTGGAAATTCTCTTTTTGATTGTAATTGACTTAGTTTAGTAGTAGATCCCCACTGTTCCCTTAGTGTCAGTGGCTCTGCTTTATTTCATGTCTCTGAGGTTTTCCTTCTCCATTCCCACAGCGAATCTTCATCCACAGTTTCATCTAACCAGAGTCAGGAGTCCGGTTATCAGAGTGGCCCGATTCAGTCGACAACCTATACCTCCCCAAACAATGCTCAGGGCCCTCTATACGAACAGAGATCCACGCAGACTCGGCGGTACCCCAGCTCCATCTCTTCATCACCCCAAAAGGACCTGACTCAGGCAAAGGTAGTGGCTTCATGAGGCCCTGAGCAATGGTTAGGACAAGAGTGGGCAAAGTCCCTTTTGTATGAGCATTTTACTTGTTGACGAATGGTACTGAAACACCTTGAAGTGCTGACTGAGAAGCTGAAAACACACCTCCGTGGTTGGTGAAATAAAGTTCTTTCCAGCGAGCCTGGAGACTGAGAGCCAGGAAACTGCTCTCTCTGTACTGCAGATCCATTCTCGCTCGTAGCATCAGTCTCAGTACCTGTTTTCTCTTCTTGGAAGATGTGACTGCTAGCAGTCTGAGTGCATGTCAGTAGAGCTCACCTTGCTGTGTCTTGGCTTGGTGAAGGGACAGCATATGCCAGAGGTGATGTGGAGGGACTCAGATGCAGCCAGCGCAGTAGGTGGGTTGGCTGAACTGGCTTGCTCCCACATCCTCCCACTGGGATCACTGGATGGCCTTTTTTGTATCCCTTTTGGGTTTGGGATCTCTTCAGCAGTTGGGGGTTGCCTTGATCACACAGGGTTGGCGTATCTTGTTTTTGTGGTTTTTACATTTTGTTTGGATAGTGTGTGTTGTGTTAGTCCTTTGGTTAACTTGTAGAATTTGAGAGGTTTGTTGATGGAAATCAAGCTGAATCTGTCAGTGCTAACTTGATGTATTCATTTGAGTTTTGTCTGTTTTTATTCTTCTGTTTTTCGTACCAGAATGGCTTCAATTCTGTGCAGGCCACGCAGTTACAGACCACGCAATCTGTTGAAGGTGAGTTACTCAAGGCTTTTTCCTCTCAGTTGGAAGGTTTTTCCCCCTCTTTTAAGACTTCCGCATTTCCTGGATTATAGTGAAAAGAGCTCTGGCTCCATGATCAGAACATGTGGTTCCAGCCTTAGCTTGGCTCTGTCTTGCTGTTTAATCTCAAACCAGCCAAGGTTCAGGTTCTCTCTCAGAATGTGATGAGTCCCTTGGTTCCCTGCCCTGGACAAATGAGATCAGTGCTGTGAGATGCTTAGAATTTAAAAAAAAGAAAAAGTTCTACCTAAACACAGATGATCCATTATTAAATAACTCACAATCTCATCTTTGGGGCAGCCTAGGACTGTAGTCACCTTTCATTTCTTACAGACACTCCCTTTCCTCTGATGAGGTGTATTCCTTTCTTTATTTCCAGGTGCTACAAGCTCTGCAGTGAAATCGGACTCACCTTCCACATCTAGCATCCCCCCTCTCAGTGAAACGGTATCTGCAGCTTCCTTACTGACGACAACCAGTCAGCACTCGTCCTCCTTGGGTGGTTTGAGCCACAGTGAGGAGATTCCAAATACTACCACCACACAACACAGCAGGTGATTTGGGGTGAGGGTTGCAGGTTGGGGTTGGTGAATAGCAGTTGCGAGCTCTCGAGTTCCATCTCATCCCCTCTACCAGGCAGAGACCATATTAGTTAAGTGGACAGACGACCTAAAAGCTAATGGAAACGAATACGGGGCTTATTTTTCCATTTCAGCATCCATTCTTGCTTTAACTGTTCACTACTCCTGGCTGGCCATTGTTCTTACCATATGACCTCAGATCTCCTTGGCCGCATATTCTGCCTAATTTCCTTGCCTGTGTTCTTGACTGAAGAAGCTCCACGTGGCCCAGCACTGTGGCTGATGGCAACCTCTTTTTCCTTGTAGCACGTTATCTACTCAGCAGAACACCCTTTCGTCGTCAACATCTTCTGGGCGCAGTTCAACATCCACTCTTTTGGTAAGCACAACGCTGTAAAAGAGGAAATATGCCTTTCTGTACCTATAACTGTCCAGCCATAAGATTCACCCAAGAAGAGATTCTTGAAAATCACTTCATGAGGTGGCAAAATGATTATTGATGTGAGGTTGTAGAAAAGGAGTAAAAAGGATGTTTGAAGCCAAGAGGCAGAAAAACCCAGAAATATTGCAGAGCTGTGGGCCAATTTTCAAAGCCCCGGAAGTAACTTTTCTGAATCTTTATGTGACTGTTTTTTAAACACAGAGCATGGGGCTTTGTACACTATGATAAGCTCTGAAAGAACATCCTTTTCTAACTGATACAACCATTCTCATCCCTCAGTCTGGGAAACTCTGAACATGAGTTGTGAAAATAATCAGCGTGAGTCTGGGCATCCTGTGAAAGTAGAGGCCAGATGAGAACTTTGGTCAAAGAATTAATTTAACTGTTGTGATTTACAATAACTACTTGTGGGACTATGCTGACATGGTAAGGAAGACAACTAACTTAAAAAGGACCCATCTTGGGCAAAGATATCTGCTTTGTCAGAAGCCCAGGGGAAGATAATGAGGGGCTAAAGCATTCTTAGGAGTCTCTCTTTCCAAATACACTGTTTTAGGTTTAAATTCATTAGAGCTGTGTTTTTTTCCTGGCCCATGAACTGATCTCTTGTGCTGAACTAGTGAAGAGGAGTGGAGGAGGGAAGGCTAGGGTATAGTTTTCACATGTAAACTGTCTCCTGGCTGACAAACCGGCATTGGTTTCCAGGGAGTTTGTCCCCAGTCTGCTGCTTTTCTGAATAGGGAGATGATGTGCAGTGGGTCATTCGTTACCATCCTTGCCAGATGAATCTTGGGGATACGTGTACCCAGAGAGGATTTAATGGTTTCCTCTAACCGGTGGCAAAGGGCAGCCTGATGCCCTGCCTCAGTCTCATGCTGGTGTTATCAGCAGAAGGGTTGTCTTGTTTTTTCTGACCTGTCAGGTAATTTCTGTTTTCCTTCTTTCCTTTTCCACCACTCCCCCTTTTTGAAGCACACAAGCGTGGAGAGCGAGGCGAACCTCCATTCTTCCTCCAGCACTTTCTCCACCACATCCAGCACAGTGTCTGCACCTCCCCCAGTGGTCAGCGTCTCCTCCAGTCTCAGCAGTGGTAGTAGTCTGGGCCTCAGCCTGGGCAGCAACTCCACCGTCACAGCCTCGACGCGAAGCTCCGTCGCTACAACTTCAGGTAGCCCTCCCTGCAAAGAAAGTGGATGGAGTTCCTTTGGTTTGAAGGAGAGATGAAACTCTGTGACAGGATAAAAGTGTGATTTCTCTCCTAGGAAAAGCCCCTCCTAATCTCCCGCCTGGGGTCCCGCCGTTGTTGCCTAATCCGTATATTATGGCTCCGGGGCTGTTACATGCCTACCCGGTAAGTGAGACTGAGGGGCCTTCTCCACAGGGTGAGGATAGAAGGTAGTGTGGCTGCTCGGTACAGCTCTGGCTTCAGGTAGAAGATGCATAAAATAAAATACAGAATGATCAAGTGGTTTGTTACATGAAAGCAAACAGGTTTTTAATCTTTTTAGTTGTGGGAAAAGATGACAGTTTTTAGAGAGGAAGGACAAACTGAAACCAGGTCCCCCGTTGTTTATTTTCTCTGTGAAAAACATCGTCTGGGCCTCGGAAGCCAAAGGCCAGCGTGTCCAGCTGCAATCCCTTTCAGTTTCGTAGAGAAATAATTCTCTCTAGTTGAATTGATTCCCTATGTCGGAGGGTCTTGGCTGGCTCTGACCTGGTCAGAGCAGAGGTCCCTAAGTCCCCCTGGGGCCGTCTACCAACAGGTGGCTGACAGTGACAGCTTTGGCCCAAGTATGTCTTCTGTCAGCTTTGTGTATTCAGTGCCTGATAACATGAAGGGAATTATCTATTAAAAGTTTTTGTTCTCGTTCTCAGAGGGTCTAGATGAATATCATACAGATGAAACATCCAATAGTCCTTTACACGCTTTAGTAAGAACACTACCTTAGTACCCAGACATGAGAAAAAACGAGTAAAATGGGAATCCTTTCTGAAGGAGATAAATTTTACCCTGGAGTTCCACGGATGCAAGAGACAGACTGGCGGGATAGGAAATAGAGCAGGCTTTCTTGTATGACTTATGTCTGTCTACCGCCGCTCCCAGAGGCCCGCCGGGTGAGATCATTGTGTAGCTCAAGGACATCTCCAAGGCCTCCCATGACCTCCTGCTCGCCCTAAGAATGAGGGTGAATGTTCTGTTGGTTTACCTTGTGTCTTAGCTCCTTGGTTTGCTACCATCACGACCAGTCCACGTGAGTATTGTTGTGTGCTTGTATCTTTCAGCCACAAGTATATGGTTATGATGACTTGCAGATGCTTCAGACAAGGTTTCCATTGGTGAGTATATGATACAGAGTTTAGGAAAACGACCTTAATGCCAGTGTTAGGGGGTTCACTTCAAATGTTCAGTTGATAAATCACAGACAGCTCTTTCCCAAACCATCCCTCCATACACACACTTCGATTTAAGACATGTCAGAATATAGGGGATTGAGGAGTGGTTCTAACAGTAACTGTTTTTTAAGTCAACTTGTGGTATTTTTGACATAAACAAATTTCAACATGATCTATAACTAAGTACACTGGAGCTCTCAGGATGCTTTCTGGATGTTTCAAACACTTCAGATTCCAGAAAAATGAGTTTTTCAGTAGCAGTTGACTATGAGAGATAATATCTAGAGGTTGAGACTATTACTGGTCCTGATGTATGTGCTGTGTTTTCCTGTGGGCATACCCGTAGACCCTGCCTGACTGTTCATGGCCAGGCAGGGGGGACAGTGTATGCAAGAGCCATTGGGAGTTTGTGCCAGCTCTCGCCAGCTCATTTGGTGGCTGGATAAGTGGCATTACTCCAACATTCTCCTGCTTCTCACCCTGTGGAGTTACCATGCTGGCGAGTGAGTGACATTGAGTCTCTGCTCTTTTCTTTCTTGCAGGATTACTACAGCATCCCGTTTCCCACACCCACCACGCCACTGACTGGGAGGGATGGTAGCCTGGCCAGCAACCCTTATTCTGGTAGGCCTGGGGTGGGGCTGATAAAGGGAGACGGTTGAGATTGGTGGCAGAGACCTGATGAGTAGCAGGAGGGGCCCAGTTCAGTCAAGGTCTTTGGCGGGTGTGATGGTCGGGATTGGGAGATTCAGAATCCTGCTAGAGACGGGCCTGTGGTACTTTTCTCCTTCTCACCTCACTTCCCCTGAGATTCCAGAGGACATCTTGACTGTTTTTCCTCAGCCCTTCTTCAGCTTTTCCCAAGAACAGGCCTTCCCCTGCTCCTCTCTGCTCCTGCACCCTACCCACAGCGGCAGTTTCGCTGCCATACTAGGCTGTGGGCCTCCTTTTTTTGCGTGACCTAGTGTCCTCATTACCCTGTCATTTGTCCTGACCTGTCATTGTTTTTCGAGTCCCACGTGGAGTGTTCCCCGTGGAGGGGGAGTGGGGAGATGAAAGACGAGTAGGGAGGGAAGTCCTACAGGAGCTCTATTCTGGGAGCCTGTCTGCCACGCACTGTGGTCACTCCGCATTAGCCCTTGCCTAGCACAGTACGGTGTGCTGAGCAATGCTAAATGAAGCCGCAAAGAATCGAACTTGAACGGTCCTTTAACAGGATTTCCTGGAATCCTGTGAAACCAGAAGCAGTAATTCTGCATTGGTGTGTGGAAGAGGCAGATACATTTCGCTTCTCCTGTCACAGGTGACCTCACAAAGTTCGGCCGTGGGGATGCCTCCTCCCCGGCCCCGGCCACAACCTTGGCCCAGCCCCAGCAGAACCAGACGCAGACTCACCACACCACGCAGCAGACATTCCTGAACCCGGCGCTGCCTCCTGGCTACAGTTACACCAGCCTGCCATACTACACGGGGGTTCCGGGCCTCCCCAGCACCTTCCAGTATGGGCCTGCGGTGTTCCCTGTGAGTACCTGGCCTTGGCCTCCCTGTGGTAAGAACCCTAGCCCGGAACGATCCTAGCTGCTTTCAAGGGCTTATTTTCATGGACGAGGAGGAACAGGGCGTGGGGCTGGAATTGATTGTCTCGGGATGGGGATTAGAATCAGCTGAAGGACTAGGGCAGCGTGCAGCTTTGCTCCCTCAAGACTGGCCTTCATTCCCGGCCCCCACTGCCCCTTTCCCTTCCTCCAGACTGCCACTTCCTGACTTCACTGTTGATTTCCGAAGGCTCAGTAGGGAGCCCATTTCACCAAGCAAACTGGTCAGCTTGCATCAGGATGGGCAGCCCTCTGAAGGCCCAGCCCCTGGAGGAAAAGGGGTGGGGTTGGCGGCGTGTGCTGCCATTTCACTGTGCTCTGGCCCTTCTGCTCCTAGGTGGCTCCTACCTCTTCCAAGCAGCATGGTGTGAATGTCAGTGTGAATGCATCGGCCACCCCTTTCCAACAGCCAAGTGGATATGGGTCTCATGGCTACAACACTGGTAAGCTTTCCTTGACCCCGGCTGTCAGAGGTGTCTGTGGGATGTTTTCAGTGAGTTTCAGAGAGGAAGACGTGGTGCTTGTGAAAACAGCGTTGGTGAGGATGTGCCCCTGCTCTGCGTACGATTGTGTTTGCTTGGTAGGAGGGGGGTCCTGTCTGAGCGGCACCAACAGCGGAGCTTGGTACTAGACCACGTGTCCATACAGGTCAGGAAATGCCCTGGGGCATGGGTTGTCTATGAGCATGTGCAGGCTGACCAGTCTTTGGGTGTGAAGCAGGACAAGGGGCCCCAAGGTTTTACTGGGGTCAGTGAGGTAAGTGTTAACATGTATGGTACTGACAGTGCAGAAGGGCACATACTTACTGAATAGGAGAGTTCAATGGGTTCTTAGCATGCTGTCGTGTTCGGCTGAAACCCCTTTGTAAGTGCTTTTCTCATGTGGCCCCTTTGTATTCCCTAGCTAGGAGACCTAGGTGTGGAGAGAGGATTAGGGCAAGGGTATAGGTGTACCCCGGAGGTATTGCGGGTTCGCTTCCAGACCACCCTAATAAAGTGGTCATAATCTTTGCTGCTGGAGGGTCTTGCCTTCGCTTTCCTAAAAAAAAAAAAAAGCAACACCTATGAGGCGCAATAAAACGAGGTATGCCTGTACTCTGTAGAGTGAGAGTCGGGCTGGGAGCATTGGACCTTGAGGTTCCTTCCTTTGCGTGGCTGGTCTCTTTGCCAAATCCATTTGCACATCTGATTGCAGGGAGGGAAATGTAGGAATCTTAAATGGGTACTGACCCAAAAGATTCTCACCCACCCCTTGCTCCCATACCTGACACCAACGCTCCACTATTGGAGGACACAGTAAGGAGAGTCTATGAATAAACAATTCCATCTACTTTTTTTGGTGACTAGTAGATGAATATGGATGGGGAGGAGGTGGTTCAGTTACTTGGGGTTGAGGGTCGTCCTTCAAAATTCTCGGCTCACTGATGGCTTCGTGGTGATTTGAATCGAGCTGCATCTGTGTTCTTCACTCTTATGTGGGCTCTGAGTGGGTAAATTGCCCAAGGTTTTCAATAATTGAGAAACTCTGAGCTGAGCACAGAGGGCAGCAGGTCTGGGAACTAACAGTCAGGTGGAGCTTGGAAGTGTGTTGTAGGACTCAGGTCAAGATTTAAACTAAAATCCTAAGACGCCCCATTGTGATTGGGGCCACCCCCTCACTGAGTAAGAGCACCCTAATCCTTGGTGGGCAGGACTATAAGCTTTTGACTTTGCATGGCCCCATCCTGAGAGTTTTAGATTTAAGTCTTAGCTGGACCAGGTTCAAGAATTTTAAGAGTTAGGTGACTGATAATGTAGGAGAACGGCATACCTGATTCTAGAAATCCTAGCTTCTTACTCCCCTCAAGATTTCAGAAACTTTCTGTAACAGCCCTTTTGAGAACCCCCAGTTCCCAGCCCCACAGAGGGTTCTTGTCATCCCATTCCTCATCAACCTCTAAATTCATTTATTTTTATGTATTTGATTCCTTTTAGGAAGAAAATATCCACCCCCTTACAAGCATTTCTGGACGGCAGAGAGCTAATTTGGCCCAAGGCCGGGGGCTGTGTTTTGTGTGTGTGTATAAATTTGCACTGAAGTCTTGTTTCAGAAACCAGACCACTGAGGAGAGCCTGCTGAGCTGGGGCCATGGCCTGCGTGGCTTGGGGAAATGAGTTGTGGATTCCTTCTGGGCTTTTGAACTTGCCCTTCCCCCGTTTCCCTCTCCCCCATGTGTCTGGCCCTGTCTTACCCATTTCGAGTTCAAGCGGTGCAGCACCTCCGAAGCATCAATGCACACACCTGCTGTTGCTTTTGATTCTGGAAGGCATGTAGTTCCAACTTGTAACACAAATATTTGTAGTCTTCAATAAACTGTGGTATTTCTTTAGCTAACTCTGGCGTTCTTTCCGTGCATGTCTTTCTGGACATTAGGAGCCAATGTTGAGCTGATGAAGGGTGGAGGGTGGCCTTTGCAATCAGACCCCAGCATAGCCACAGAACTGGTAACTTTTCTGTATGGTGATGCTATGGCGGTGGGAGGGGAAATCATCTGTTTCCAACCTGTTGATTGGTTGGTAAAGAAAGCTATTTGTAGGAAATCCCTGATTCTCCATGCTTATTATAGCTTTTCACTTTTCCACTTAGATCTTCCCCTTGCCTCTGACATAAGCAGAAAGGAAAGGACAAAAACGTTTAGTGTCATGTCATGGTGAAAGGCAGAAGAGGTGGTGTTCAGAGCTGTTGTCAGGGAAGTGTGTTCCAAGGCTTCATTCGCACATCTGGTTTCCCAAGCCCAGTGGCTGTTTGAGGTCTGATAAAGTCTTGAGAGACCAGCTAGTTGACTCAGGCTGTGGAAACTGCTAGCCTGGCACATTGTTCTTTGTCCCTCCATGGCTTTTCAGGCATTGTGGATTATTAGTCATTGTGCACTTGTGGGTGTAGCTAAGGACGTTGTGGGGGAGGTTTGATAAGACATCTTGACTGGGAATTCTTATTCCCATCCAATCCAACTCTACACTTTACACCAGCCCTTTGTTTCCAGTTAACTTGGACAGTAAGAACAGCGTCCACGGTTAATTGGAAACCCAGGCATGCCACTTTCTTTGTATTTGTCCCCAGCCCTCTGGAGTAATTTTTGTCCTGTGATGTGACCAACTTTCCAGGGGCTGCCATGCTGGGAGAACTTGGTTCTTGCTTCTCCTCCCTACCGTCCCCATCATGTTGGTATCACTGTGTTGGGATGGTGGGGGTAGGAGGTTGACTGTGGGAAGCAAAGCAAGAGAACGCTCATCTGAGGAGCTAATACCTGGTAACGGGTAGGTAGGGAAACCAATACCCATTATTTTTAGTGTCTCTAATGCTAACGCTGAGGTTATTATGGCTATTACAAAGAGAATTCTCTTTTTCCTGCATTTCCAGTCCCTTCAACTGATATCCTAGTTAAGGCGTCTGGGCTAGAAGCTGGTTTTTAGCTAGTCCAGCCTCTGGAAAGAATGAAACCAGGTAGGGGCACATTGGAATTAAATTCCTCCCTACCACCCCATTGGCGCGTCCCGTTAGCCATTTCTCCCATCTGTGTGGGATGACCAAGGGGTGTCAGTGAACTGTCCAAGCCTTTGCAGTAAATATCAATCGTCTCTTCTTGCCCTCAGAAATGCTCTATGTCCTGTCTGTCCCACCTTATTCTCAGCTCTTCCATACAAACCTCATCAGCTCAGACTTTTCCAAAAATGAGCTCCTGTTTTTAAAGTTAAGCCCATTACCAGTGATTTGCCAGATGGGCACCTGGGGTTTGAAAAGCGAAGTGGGAAAAAATGACTCTATTAGCTCGTGTATTGTCCCCATCTTTTCCTTCAGCACCTTGAAAGTGTGGAGTTGATACCCTGGAGATTGGGAAGTCTTTTCTCGTGCCTGCTTTCTGTAGTTCTTTTTCCTAGTTGGTGTTTGTTCCTCCCTGGAACTGTGTGGACTTGTGATGTGGGAGGGGGTTCCAGGTTGAGATGCCACTTTTGTCGGGAAGATACTGAAGTGGCCGTCTAAGGTGGGGTTAACCTGTGCCACTGCCTTTGTCCCAGGCGTCGGGAGGACATGGGTTCTGGAATTTGAAGGGGGATTGCTGTTGAATTGTGGGTGAAGGGAGGATTCCTCATTTGTGATTTGGTCACTTGAGCGCTTCTAGAAAACCCTTCCGTCAAAGTGCCCCTGACAGCAGAGAACGATCCAAGGACATAGACTGAAGTGAAAAGATTTTGTGAAGTTTCACTTCATTTCATGAGAACGAATATTATCTTTAAAAAACATGCTTTAAATTCCTAGTTAAATTTGAGTTACTTCACCTCAAGTCTTTGCATAAAAGTTCTCTAGTAAGATGCTGGATTGATTACCTTACCTGACAGCTTTTTCCTATCTCCTTGGCCTATTGCCCCATACGCAGGAGATGGAGGATATGTGTTTCAGTGTAAGGAGTACAAATGAAAATCAGGAACTGCACTCCTCTGGTTTCCTTAAAGCTGTAGTGCTGGCAGGGAGTTTTCAACAGGAAACATGCTAGTTGTTGGCGTATGGATCAGAGCCTTTATCTCGTGGAGAAGCTGCAGCTGTGAACTAGAATTCACTCGGGTTGTGCGTTCCACCCAGGCTGTAGGAGATAGACCGTCCCTGTCTACCTTCCTTACCTCTCCCCCTCAAGATGCATAAATGGAAATACACTCTGTGCCAGTTCTTTAAATCCTAAGTACATAGCCGAGAAGCTCCACGACTGGAGAGGCTGGCCTGAGGGAGCTGATGCTCTGCGAACACAGGTGCTCGTAGAGGTTGAATTGGACTGTGCCTCTAGTACTTAGGCTGGAAGAGCCTGGGTTTGAGCCCAGAAGTATCTCTTCGTGAACAGAAAGAGCCAGTCTGGACTACCTGTCCTAGAGCAGGACGGAGTGAAGTTTGGGTGGATTGATTTGATAAGGACATTAAAAGTGTAATCCATTCCTGTTGGGCTTTGCCATAGAGATGTTTTGAAAACGATATGCTAGTGAGGTTTAGCTATATTCCCTTGCTCCCCCCAAGAAACATCTCACCTCATTCTCGCACATACACCCAGTATACACCCAGTACACACCTGGAAAGGGCAAGAGAACCCTTCTTGAGCTTTTGTGTCATGAGCTCTTACCCCTCAGGACTGACCTGAAGCTGGAAAAATAGACCAAAATCCCCTTGCAGTGCTATAGCTAGAAAGACTGCAGGGAGAGGGGTCAGGCGGCTAGCGAGCTAATCGTCCTGTCTTTCCTCCTCCCCTAGGTGTGTCAGTCACCTCCAGTAACACGGGCGTGCCAGATATCTCGGGTTCTGTGTACTCCAAAACCCAGGTAGGTGCCTGGCCCTGGGTATAAGTGGAAAAAGAGATGGACATTGATGAGGTGGAGTGACAATGACAGAAGTCCAGGGAGCTGGGACACCCCTAAGAGAGGTGTCAGGAAACCCACCACCCTACTAGAGAAAGATGGTCTAGACTTCAGTTTCTTGAGGCAGTTTAAATTTAGCCATTTGGGAAAAAACGAGAAATGTTATAGGGAGGTGAGGTGTGGAAAATTGTGGTAATTATGTCATGTGATTTTTTTGTGCAACTGTCCTGGCCCTTTCTCACTCCCCAGCCTTTTTGTAACTTTCCAAGAGAACGAGTGGAATGCAGTGAACTATTGGGTTGTCGGAAAAGTCATGACGCATTTTTGCAACAAAAAACAGAAAAAATATATCATGACTTTTCCAACAACCCAATAGTTCACTGCATTCTTTTTTAAGTGTCTCTGTAACTGAGTGAGAAAGGAGACAACTCAGTAAGCAGAGTGAGGCAGTCGAGTTATCCACAGATTTATATCGTGTTGCTTTCTTCTCCTACGACCATAAATAATGAGAAGTTTGATAGAACGTGTTCAGGAGTTAGGGTGGAGCGCTTCATGGCCAAGACCTTTAACACTCAGGAATACCTCCAGGGAGCTCTCACTTGGGCCCAACTCCAGAGGTGTGTGTGCTAAGAATAGTCAGCAGGTTTCACTGTGTTCCTGTACGAGACATTAGACTATGCTTTCACTTCCGTCCTCTCATTTGATCCTTACATCTGAGAGGTCGGAAGCACCTGTTTTCTGTATGAGAAAACAAAGGCTGAGAGAGCACACAGCTATTACAGGCAGGTGGGTGTTCCTTCTGTGACACTGGGTTGCTTCCTGCGGGTGGGAGAGCTGGGCTCAGAAGCCCCACGGGTCCGGCGGCTGACCCCTTCTCTACTCTTTCTCCCGTCCTCCCGGATAGCAGTCCTTTGAGAAACAAGGTTTTCATTCCGGTACTCCTGCTGCCTCCTTCAACTTGCCCTCAGCCCTAGGAAGTGGGGGGCCCATCAATCCGGCCACAGCTGCTGCCTACCCACCTGCCCCCTTTATGCACATCCTCACCCCCCATCAGCAGCCGCACTCCCAGATCCTTCACCACCACCTGCAGCAGGATGGCCAGGTAATAGCCCTCCCTCTCTCCTCTCCCTTCCTCTTCCTTCCTATCCCTTAAAGCTGCCTCCCCTTTCCTTTTCTTACCCTTCCTCACCACCACCCTCCACCCAATCCTCCCCAGCGCCAGCCATGGGCACACAGCACATACAGACACGAGCGCACATAACACGAGTGGCCGGCAAAGGAGATGTCAGAGAAGGGGCCAGATTGAAACCCTTTTTGCCCAGTTCCTTTGGTGCCTTTCTCCTCCACCTCCTCCCATAGCACGGATGTCCTCATCCCATCAGACCTGGGTCACACCTCCCCTCTTACCTCTCCCAGCCCTCCCCCTTCCCTCACATTGTAGCTTTCCCTTCTAATGGTGGAGTTCTATTGTCAAAGTTTGTCCCTTTATTTTCCATATATCCTGGTTCTGCCTCAGCTACCATATTTGCAGATGATTCTCTGTTGCCAGCGCCAGCAGGAGGAGCAGGTAATGAAACTGAATGATGATATGCTTGAACCCACTCCTTTTCAGCCCCCATTTCACCATCACAGCCTCAGGGAACTTGAAGAGAAAAGATTGCACAGTCACACACCGGGATACACAAACACAGACACCTTGCTGAGCTCTCTGGCCTCCCATTCCTCTCTTGTCCTCCCCTCCTCAATGCCCTCTTTTTCTTTCTACCCTTCCCTGACTCTGGAAACACTTGGTTACCGGAATGGAAAGGATTCTTGGGGCAACATCTGGAGCCTGGGGCCTCAGCCTGTCTCTCCTGCCTTGCCTGAAATGGGCTCCCAGATGTGATGCGTGGTAGAGTGGGGTGCCATGGGGTGGTGGGAGTGACCTCCCCTCCACCATGGTTGACTGGGGAGCTGGAGTAAGGGCTTGGCTCTCAAAAGACAACTTTCCAAATTGAAGCCTTCCTGGGAGAATCCGTGAAAATGAAAACAATCACCTGTGATCACTCATCTCCAAGAGGCCATGATTCTCTAGAGAACAGCCTTTTCTCGGGGTGGGGGTGGGGGGCGGGTATTGAGTAGAACTGATTCACTGTCTCCTCTCTAAAGGTATCTTGCCCTCTTTTCACCTTTTCCCTGTTTGAAGGTAGAAAGTGCTTTGTTGTCAGGTGCTCTAGCAGCTATACAAACCAAGTTTTCTGTGGTTGAGAAGGAAGCTGCACAGTAGTTTCTAAGCAAGGGGAATGGGAGAGCAAGGTGATTTCCCAATCTCCACCTGAAGATGTCACAGATTTGTCCCACTAACTAGACACCTTTTTCCTCCCCGTCATCCTCCCATTCCCCTGCAGACGGGCAGCGGGCAACGTAGCCAGACCAGCTCCATCCCGCAGAAGCCCCAGAGCAACAAGTCTGCCTACAACAGCTACAGCTGGGGGGCCAACTGAGGCCCTGACCCTGTCCTCCCGGCCCCATCTTCTGAGAGGGCTCCTCAGCCTGGCAACTGTGGAAACAGCATCAAAGAGAAAGGAGTGGGGGGGTTCCGCTGCCCCCCACCCCCAGTGGCCCACCCCATGCCTCAGCTTCATGTCTGTCCATTCCCATACCATCCCCACTCTGTTGTATGTATTATAGAATTTGTATTTTCTCTTTTTTTTTCCTTCCTCTCCTTCCCCCTTGCATTCAAGATTATGAAACTTTGCTGTGGGCCCTGCCCTTCTTCCTCCTGTTCACCCTGGTGGTGTATGGGTGAGGTGGGGAGGGGGACCCCCAAATATATATCAGCCCAACAGCCCTATGTCTCCTCCTTTATTATTAGGAAACAAAACAGCAACAACAAAAAATGGCGTCATGAATATGAACAGCATTGTCAGAATTAGTTGAAGTGCTTTTTTTTTTTTTTGTACTGTGTCCTCAAATTTAATGGATTAATGTGTCTTGTATATATAAAAAGAAAACCTCTACCTTCAGCCTCTGCCCATTCTTGCTCCGTCTAGGACATCCTCAGTGTCGTCGGTGACCAGCTTGGTGAATAAGTATTACTCTACCAACCAGGCCTCTAGCAGGCCCCGAAGGCAGTGGAATAAAACGAAATCTTCACCCTTTAAGAACTCCTGACCTTAATGTGCTAGTGCCTTGCCCCGAGGGGATTCTCTTCCCTTCTCCCCTAAGAATTTCACAGCCTGTTGCCTGGAAAGAGCCACCGCAAATCTTCGTTTCCTCCAAAAACTGCTACGTCTATGGCAGACTGCAGGCAGTAGAAAGTGGAATGGCAGGTAGGGAGGGGATTAAGGAGCTGAAAGAAACGGCTTTGTAGAGTCAAAGCACAATCTGGATGAGTCCAGGCAAACGAGCTGGAAGGGAGGGTACCGCGCACGGTTGGCTGGCAAGCCGGCGTGGGGCCCACCTCGGAGGAGCAGGCTGCAGCAGCTCTTGCCGGCCCGGCGCTTCCATTGCCCCATTACACCCAAACCCCTGAGCAGCGGGCTGGAGGGGGCGGCTTTGCGAGTCAGCGACAGGGGAGGGTACTTAGGGCCCCGCGCTCGCTCTCCCCTCCCGAGACTTCGCTGCGTCTCCCTCGCGCCCCCTCCAAGCCTTTGTTCTGCTGGCCGTGGAGCCTGCCTGGAAGAAGGAAAAGGATCCCTTATGACAAACTCCTCGGTGGCCGCAGTGATGGAGTTCAATGCGCGCGTCCCCGTGTCCATCTCAACTCTGGGGAACCAGAGGGAGCTTGACACAATATTTTGCCCATCCCTCTCAGAGGGGTCAGTCAGGAAGCAAACGGGCGAGGTGGCTTCCGAGAGAAGGCTGGTGGTCCACGGGCGGGGCGAGGGCGAGGGCGAGGGCGGACCGGCTCATTTGCGCCGATGGGCTGCCCTCTGGCGGCTGCTTCCGGCACCATCTAGCCTCAAACCCTCGAAATACCTTACTGGGCTCGTCGGCCTGAAGGAGAATCGGCTTAGAGGGCAGGTGATCAATGGAAAAGAAAATTCACAACGCCCACACCCTCACAGAAAACGGGTGCGGTAAAGAAAGACTTTCGAATTTGAGGACCGTCCGCCCCGCCCCCACCCACATTCACTTACGGTCGTTTTACGACAGTGTCTTGATCGCAGGCTTGCTTTCCGGCAGCGTAGCCTGACGCGCCTCAATTTCCGACAGCGTAGCGCAAGCTACCCACAGGTGTGAATGGAACCCGGGTGGGCTTTGGTGGTTGGAATCCCAATGCGGGGATGAGCCTCTTTGACCTCTTTCGGGACTTTTTCGGCTTTCCTGGACCTCGGAGGTGAGAATAGGTCTGGGTCGGACGGGGGCCGTCTTCTGTAGGGAGCTTGACCCCTAACACCCTATTTTGGGAAAAACATCCTCTTCCCCATCATTCAACTCCCGCGGAGAGGACGGAAGCCACAGCATTGGGCACTCATCCCGAGAAATAACCAAAGCGGTCGTTAAGAGGAGGAGAAACGGCAGCTTAAGCCTTTCCCCAACCTGGGGTGATGCAGCAGGCCCGGGCAGGGGAGACAATGGGGCTCAGGGGAAGAAGGCAGTGAGCAAGTGAGCACGACCTTGGGAGAGAGGGGAGGAGCTGGGGGACACTGAAGAAAAGCCGAGGGGAGGCGTTTGGGGGGAGCCGCGAGGTGAGGACTGACCTTGATTAAAAACTAAAACAAAACAAAACCCCCATGGCTAGCCTTCTAACCCTCACCTCAGCTTCCTAGGCACCTGTTACCTTTCACTTTGCCACCCGTTGAGTCGAAGCAGTGCTGAAATTTTGGCGGCTAACCTGCCTTCATCCCCAGCCCCAGAGATCCCTTTTTTGGAGGGATGACTCGAGATGAAGATGAGGATGATGAGGAAGAAGAAGAAGGAGCCTCGTGGGGCCGTGGGAGCTCAAGGTTTGAGGGTCCGCAGCCCCCCGAGGAATTTGCCTTCGGCTTCAGCTTCAGCCCAGGAGGAGGAATGCGTTTCCACGATAACTTCGGCTTTGATGACCTTGTACGGGATTTCAATCACATTTTCAGCGAGATGGGGGCCTGGACCTTGCCTGCCCGTCCTTTTGGTGTGTGGCTGCCCCTGAGGGAGAACGTGTGGTTTCTACCGGGTTGGTGGGTGAAATAAGGAGCCTGCAGAAAGTAGTTGGGGGGTGGGAAGTGAGAAAAGACTAATGATTTCAAGGGGAGTTAAAAGATCCCAAGTCCTTTCCCACCCCAGCATCCCCCACCTGCCACCTTTCTGCAGAGCTCCCAGGTCCTGAGTTAGAGTCACCTGGTGAGAGACGGCCCGAGGGCCAGACGCTTCGGGACTCAATGCTTAAATATCCAGATAGTCACCAGCCCAGGATCTTTGGGGGTGTCTTGGAGAGTGATGCAAGAACTGACTCCCCAAAACCAGCACCAGACTGGGGCTCCCAGACACCTTTTCATAGGGTGAGTACAACTGGGCCTGAAATGAGAGCCTGTGGGAGGCCACTGGAATAACCCTTGTTGGAATCGGACGAGACTTGGGTTGGAATCCTCGGCCTTCCACTTAGTGTATTTATCTGTTTTCTATACTAAGCTTCTTGTAGGATTTTCTTTGGGGGAAAATGGGAGTTCTGCTTTTTCTTAAAAAAACCAAACAAACAAAAAACACTGGTCTGTATGATTCTTGGACAAAGCAGGGTTGTTGGGGGAGGACAGAAAAGTATCAGTGCAGGAAAGCTTTTTTGGAAGAAGGATAAATAAAACAACTAGGAAGGAGGAAGGGATGAGTAAACAAAGCAGCTGTGAATGGGATTATCTCTCCTGGGGAAAGGTTGGAACTTAAGAGTAGTTTGGGTTCCTGCGGCTCCTCAGGTTTCAGAGTGAGAGGTGTCATTTCACCTACTTTGGCTTCTTCTGCAGTTTGATGATATGTGGCCCGCGACCCCCTATTCTAGAGCCAGAGAGGACAAGGGTGAGTCTGGAGGGAGAGGACTTTGACCAGCCCTCTGTTGTTCTTCAGGAGTTCCCTCTGTTCTCCCTCCCTGAAGCTTCTTCCTGCCACACTTGTCCCCTTCTTTCTCTTAGACCCTTTGTTTACTGTTGACTCTCTCTGCCCTTCTAGATCTCGATTCCAAGGTTTCCCAGGAGGGCCTCGGCCCAGTTCTGCAGCCCCAGCCCAAATCCTATTTCAAGAGCGTCTCTGTGACCAAGATCACGAGGCCAGATGGGGTGAGTTGGGAGAGCATGGGGTAAAGGGAACGGTGGCCGGTGGATGCCCCGGAAAGAGGGGTCTAAGTAAAGAAACCAGCAAGCTCGCCTTTAGTGATGTTACGAATATGGTGGGGGCTTCTCCTTGTAGACAGTAGAGGAGCGCCGGACTGTGGTGGACAGCGAGGGCCGGACAGAGACCACAGTAACCCATCAGGAAGCAGACGGCAGCCCTAGAGATGGTAAGTGAAGAGTGTGAATCAAAGGGGTCCATCGTTTAGTTCCTTGGTACCTATTCTTCTGCCCTTGAATATCATTCCCCTCATTTGCCCCATCTCTTTCATTTAGTGTGTCTGTGTGTATCACTCTCTTCCTTAGATCCAGAGTCACCAACACCTCCAGCCCTGGATGATGCCTTTTCCATCCTGGATTTATTCCTAGGCCGTTGGTTCCGGTCCCGGTAACCGTGTTAACTCTCAGAGGCCTTCAGGTTCTTTCCACCTCCCACTGTTTGCTCACCGTCAATGGACTTAGCTTCTCCTCCTGCCACCTCAGGGCCTTGGGTGTGTGGAATAGTGACCTGTGGGTATGTCAGTATGTCACTCACCCAGACTGAGCAACAAAACCTTTATTTATGCTAATTTCTCAGTCTTGGTTTTGTCCAGGCTGTTCCACTGCCTAGCACCATCCAAGGTTTCTCAAATGATCTTGGCCCACAACCTTCTCCTTGTTCCTTAATTTTTTTGTTCCATTTCCAAAACCTGATTTGATAAGTAAAGGTCAGGTGCCAGTAGAAAATAGTTTTCCTTATGGAGGAGATAGGATAACTAGAGATAATTCCAGGAGAATTTCTAGCCAGCAATGTATCATCATATTCCCAAAAAAAGGAAGTGTGTGTGTGGAAGTGTAGAGGGTAACTGCTTCCCTTGGTGTGGGGTTGGATAGTTCATGAGATAATTTAAGGAAGTACATGAGCAAACATTTCTTCCTTTATTGACTATGCTTTTATTACTTTATGTATGTTAGAGAAACTGACTAAGCTCAAGCATTACCGGATCGTTTTCTCATTAAAAAAAAATTAACACTGTGGTTTAGAGTGGCAGATCTTACAAATTTATCCACCACTGTTTCTTCTGGAAATCCTAATAAAATGGCAAGAAAGAAATTTTTCTAAAGAGGCATCTAAGAACAAAAGAGGGAAGATATAGTAATTAAATTTTATCTTTTCATTCCCTTTGTTATATTTTTAGGTAAACGAAAGTTGATTTATTATAGCCAAATTTATCTTTTTATTTATGGTTATTGCTCTTTATACCTCTTAGAAACCTCTCCTAACCCAAGGTTAAAAGGATACTCTCCTTTATTAGTCTTTGTAATTTTTATAGTTTTGCCTTTTACATTTAGGTTTTTAAATTCCCCTGGAATTTATCTTCCTATATGGTATGAATTAGAGGACCAATTTTATTTTCATTTGGAAAAATATATATTCACATATATGTACAAATATTACAGATAACATGCACATACAACATATATATCACTCTCTTCTATATTCCTACTGTATTCTTCTATATTATTCTCTTCTCAACAAATATTCCTACTCTCTTCTATTAATCTGTTTGTCTATTTTCATGCCCATATCACACTTTTAAATACTATACTTGTATTTAGTGGAACAAGTCCTCCTACCTTTTAAAAAGAATTCTCTAATTCTTCTAGCATATAAGAATACAATTGATGTTTTTAATCAGCTTTTTAGAGTACCACTGTAAACACAAATGGAACCAGAGATTACCAGACATCTGTGGACAGCCTCCGACATGAAGGATGGAGACTTATACAAACAAAAGAAGCAACTTGGAAGAAACAGAAACTATGCAAAAAGATGAAAATTCACCAAGAACACAAATCTTTAATGTCCTTAGAAATATGAGATGCTATAGCCATAAAACCAGAACAGAATGCTACAAAAGAGAAATAAACAGAACAAACTTCTTGGAGTTAAAAAAATGTATGGCAGAATTGAAAAACTATAAAAAAGGCTTGGATGACAAAGTTGAGATCTCCAACAATGTAGTCCAAATAACAGAGCTAGAAAATGGGGAAGTGGGGGCGGGGAGGGGGTGGATAAGAAAACTAGAATGATATAAATCATCCAAACCAGAATGATAAAAGTCATCCATGAAATAAGTCAAAATATCTCAGAAGTGAAGGATATTACTTTCTAACCTGAAAGGACCCACTACATGCTCGATACCAAGGATGAAAATAAACCCACTCCAAGGCTCATCATATGAAATTTCAGAACACTAGAGACAGGAGAATCCAAATGCTGAGAGAGGGGAGAGGGAGATCACATACAGAGGATCAGGAATCAGAATGTTCTCAAACTTCAGCAGCAACACAAAAGACAAGGGAGCGTCACTTTTAAAATTCTGAAGGAAAATCTTTAACAATCTAGAATTGTATACCCAAGGAAACTGAATTTAAAGTGGGAGCATAATAGACATTTTTAGACATGAAAGGGGTATTAACAAAAACATGTACCAAACATCATATTTAATGGTGAAAGATTGATGCTTTTCCAACTAAGATTAGGACTAAAACCAGGATATCTGCCCTTAACACCTCTGTTCAGCATTGTACTGGAGGTTCTAGCTAGTGCAATAAAGTCAGAAAATTAAATGAAAGAAATGGAATGGAAAGGAAGAAGTAAAACATTACAGATGCTATACCATATGTGTAGAAAAGAATTCTAAGGAATCAACAACAAAAGCAATAGCAATAATAGTATAGCAAAGTTTCGGGATACAAGATCACTATACAAAAATGTTTTGTATTTCTATATATTGGCAACAAACAATCTGAATATGAAATTAAAGGAACAATTCCGTTCATAGCATAATAATAAAATACTTCAGAATAATTTTGACAAAAGTGCAAAAGCTGAACATTGAAAACTACAAAAATTGCTGAGATAAAATCTAAATTAAAAAAAGATATACCATGTTCATGGATTGGAACACAATATTGTTAAGATATCATTTCTGCCCAAATTTATAGATTTAATGTAATTTCTATCACAATGTTAGTAAATGTATTTTGTGGAAATGGACAAGCAATGTCTCCTCAATGTGGGGCCCTGTTCTGGAAGGGAGACCAGCTGGGTCAGTTTTAAAAGCTCAGGACCTGAATGCTATAATCCTTTCAGACCATCTTCTGTAGGCCTCTTCAAATCACCCAATCTTGGAGAGGTAAAATCCATGCGAGTTTCAGCTGTTCTGAAATTGACCTGCAGAACTTTCCAGGGAATATCAGGGCGTTTTGGGGCTCTGTTCTTGGGCCTATCGGATGGGATACCCTGTTGCATTTCTGTGCTGCTTGCACAGACACTGATACTGTACAGGTCTGATAGCTGTTGTCATCCACACCCACTTGTACTACAGGTTTGAAAGCATACTTTGTCACCTAGTTCTATTGTAAAAGTTTTTAATTAGTCTTTGATTTTGCTATCTATTTGTTCTGTCTTTTTATGTGGAGATTCAAGAAAGTCCAGAAACTAGGCTTTCATTGCTGCTGCTGTCTTCCTGGGATTCCCACAGCGTTCCTTTTTTTTTACACACACAAATTATAACACTTTGTTTAGTATCCTGATGAAACTTATTGATAAGTTTCATGCACATAATTACATGTGTTCACATATACTCTTAAATTTTCTAGAAAGGAGAAATAAAAGGATTAATTTATATTAAAACAGTATTTTTCAATATGCAAATGCTCAGGCACAAGTAAAATCCATAATGAAACATCCTGACCAGTATACATGTCACATGGCCACCCAAATACCAAAAAAGTGTAGCCTTAAAAACATGGAAACAGGTTTTTCTGAAATGGTGCCCTGTTCTTGCTACAGTTCCAAACAAAATTAAGTACTGCCTTCCCTCAATTTACATGATGATTGCATATCTAAAAGGTTCACTGTACATTGAAGCTGCTAAAAAAATATTTTGTGTTTATAACAGAGTCTGAGCTCATATCATGATAAACAAGCTTTTCACCAATATGTACATCTGGTAGGACATTCTCAAGTCACATAGGACACAGAACAAGTCTTTGTTGTGTGCCTTGCAGGAGGTGTAGCATATCTAGCTTCTGACCAGTAAAATATTAGGAACTCCCCCACTGTCATTGTGAATGAAACCACGAAAATCCTGCCTCCACAAAATTTCCAAAATTCTCTCTCTGGTAGTACTCCTGGTTGAGAACCTCTGGTCTAGTAGAATTTCTTCTACCTGGAAACCTGAGGGTGTGGCATAAGGATAATGAGCGCGTATTACTTTAGAAACTACAAAAGTGAAACTAACCTTTCATCTTTGGTAGGAGAAAGCAAGAGGGATATGGTGACTTGATGTTCTTCAGTCTGCAAGGATCAAGGAGGGTGGCCGATGGAAGGAAGTGTGTAGGGTTGGGAAGATTGGGTCCCCCTGGAAATCAAGTCCAGTGTGAAGAGTTCCAGGCAGAAGGCCCATCTGGGAGTGCCCTTGGGAGATCCACCGTTAGGGAAGTGGAGAGAGGGAGTCGCTGACACAATATGGTTGTGAGACAGACCTCAGCTGACCCTGGATTCTACGGGGAGTTCTGGATGGAAATAATTCTTCCGAGTTGTCCCAAATTAAGGCAAAGGGGCCAGGACGTTGTATGCCTGAACCAGCCAATCATTGACCATGGGAAATCTGCTGAGGGCAAGACTGGGCCAGGTGGCTGAGGTATCTTCCTAGCAGCTGAGAGACAGGCTCTCAACCCTAAAAAGAGGGTCTGGGTGAAGAACTGTGGCGTCTCCTACAGTTCACCACTTGAACTGCTCAGGTCCATACTCCACTGGTTAGTTTAGCCAGGGGGAGAAGCTTCCCTAGGGCTCTGGTTTTGTTTCTCGGGGGAACTTGAAGAGAAGGTTCGGTGGGAAAGTCTACAGCCTTTCCTGCTGAATTGGTTTTGAGCATCCGGTGGACTCTTACCCCCTCCTGTGCCACTGGTTCCAGCTTTCCCTCACTTTTGACTAGTGCCTCCGCTGGTCTAGGCAGCTGGATAGTCAGATGACCCAGACCTCTGCCCTTGAGGGTGCCCTTGGTTACCTTGCCCTTCTCAGACTGGCTGCTATACTTTTCATTGTTAAAACTGAGCATGGGAGCAGCATGAGTGGGTGACCTGAAAGCCACAAGAGTTCCTGCCTCCCACGTGTAGCTGCAGTCCCCCGCCCTCGGTCACAGGTAATCCTGCCAGTATGATGACTCCTTCTCTTGCCTGCTTGTCTCTTGCTACAAAGACTCCAAAGTTCAAAGCGATTCTTACTGTGATCCTCAGAGGAAGCATTCCATGCCCGGTTTCTAGGACCCCTAGACCTCAAATTCCCCACCTGGTTCACTGTGAGTGAAGGTGAAGGGAGACTACTTGATTTCCATCCTAGATCCATATAATGAATTCCCAGATCCACATACTCTACCTCCTGGGGACACACAATCATACAGTGGTCATTGATTTAGAGTATATGTCATGTCCTGGAGGTTGGTTCCCCATCCACCTAGGGTTTCGTCTTGAAGCCGGCACCTCATCTGTGTCTTTAAGAGGCCACTAAACTGCTCTGTCTGACTGGTGGTCTCTGAATGGGGCAGTATAAGAGCAGTAGACTTTTTGGTCACATGCCCACTGGCACACAGCCTTTACTGTGAGTCTGATCAGAATGGTACTAGCTGAGACGCTCTGGGCAGGAAAGGCAAACCTACACAGGCAGACCGCAGAAGCATTGCGGGTTCGGTGCCAGACCAGTGCAGTAAAAGCGAGTATCGCAGGAAAGTGCGTCGTGATCCTTTGAGTTGCTGCAGCTGGTTGCTGACAACTTTGAGTTAATTCAGATCCTTTGTCCAAAAACCCTGAAGAGATCAGGTCTTCGGGTCCCTGCACCAAGCAGTCGTGGGCCCTAAGGCAGGGCGGTGACTTTGGGTGAGGCGGTTTCCTGCCACAGAAAGCATTGCCCTGAGGGAAGCAGTTGTGTGCTCTCAGCGTCTGCGATTCCCAGCAGCTGGGGGATGGGTGCGTTGGCCCCAAACAGGGGACCTGAGAAAAGCACTAAAGTATCCATTAAAACAGGGGTTGGCAAACTTGAGACAGGACAGCCAATCCTGTCCCTCACAACAATTTAAAAATTATTCGAGAGTCATAAATATATTTTTACAAATTAGGAAAATTTAAAAATCCTTTAAAAATTTTATAAATGAAACTATGATAGTTTTATTTTCACTTTCAATTTTACTTCAGAGCCACATGTACGTACCCAAAGAGCCGCATGTGGCTCGTGAGGCGCAGTTTGTCGAGCCCTGCATTAAACCCAGTAAAGAAGTATTATTGCACACAGATGCGCCCAGGACTGTGCTAGAGCCCACGGGGTTTCATGGCCCTGCTCTCAAGAACCTCATGATCTGTATAGTATAGGATTTTCAAAATGTGTATGCTGCCTGTTTCCACCTCTGGTAGGGCAGGAGCTATGTCTTGTTCATTGCTGTTTCCCCAGTGTCTAGAACTCGATTGGTAGTTGAATGAATCTAATCGGAGGCTTGAGATGTGAAGCAGTAGGATGTGGGATAAGTGTGACAATATCCCGAGAAGAGGAGGTGGGGCTCCGCGTGGGTGCAAACCCTCATCTGGAGCCATGACAGGAGACAAAGCTAGAGCATCCACTCTGTCACCAAGGCGAGCGTCTGCATGAAGGACGTCCGAGCATTCCCCACGTGGGTCTCAAGCCTGCAGCCTATGGTCTGCAGCCCAGTCTCTCTGGATGTCTATTGAGTTCTCCAAGGCTCTAAATAGTTGGAGGAGAGGCTTCCCTCACTTTCCATGTGAGAGGCATTGTGGGAAAGCAGATGGAGAATCAGACGACCTGGATGGATTTGAATTCAGCCTCAGCCAATAGTTAGCTACGTGGGCTTGGGAAATTCGGAGGCTCTCTCAACACTCTCATCTGCAGGGTGGGAGCAATAGTGCCACTTTACACAGTTGTCTTGAGGACCAAGAGAGCTCAGGTGTGTGAAGCCCGGGATGTCCCCCACTCTGTCCTGGGAGGACCGGGGATGGAGGAGACAGCACTGGGTACACGCCAGGCTCCCGTCTGCCCAGAGCCTGCCCACATGGACATTCTCCCTTTATCTATTCTCCCTAGGCACGTGTGGATACACTATGCCACTGTTCAGGAGCTGAGCTCATTAATTGGTTTTAAAGTCTTTTCCTTATCTCACCCCCCCACCCCAGGCAGGCAGTATCTGCAGCAACAGCGTGTCTGTGCAGACGGAGGGAGCGGTGACCAGCGACAGGTGTCCTCACCATGGCCCTGGCAAGAATCAAGGGCCGGCTCCGGATCCGAAACCTCCTGGCCCGACAGTGCCTGGCGGAGTTTCTGAGCGTGTTTGTGCTCATGGTAAGCAGGGTGATGGGGGAAGGAAACGGGGTGGGCCAAGTTTTTGGCGCCTGCTGCTGTTCTTATCTCTTCCTTCGGGAGTCCTGCTCCCATCATTTCTCTTTTCCCTCATTTTTATTCCAGTCCTTTTCCGTCTCCCACCATCCCCCGCCCCCGTTTCTCATCTTTCCTTTTCTTCCACTGCTCCCATTTCTTCTCCCCTCTTTCAGCTTTTCTCCTCTGCCTGCTGACCCCTCACATCCGTTCTTCATTCACGTCTCTAGGCCGCTCCCCTGGCCTTCCCAGTCTCTCTCCCCTGTTGCTCCACCAGGCTCCCTATTCCTGGTTCTCGGCTCCTCATCTTCCTTCTCCCCACCAGCTCCTCACCCAGGGGGCTGTGGCCCAGGCTGTCACCAGTGGAGAAGCCAAAGGCAACTTCTTCACCATGTTTCTGGCTGGCGCTCTAGCCGTTACGGTGGCCATCTACGTGGGTGGTAATGTCTCAGGTGAGGAGGGTGGGATCTAGTCAGACTGGGTAGGACATGCCTGGGAGTGTGGTTGGTTGTACGGTGAAAAGATGACTCATGGACATTATCTCCTTGAGCTTGACCAGTGCCCTGGACTGAGATATGCACGTGGCCCAGTCCAGCCCCGCCCCTTTCGGTATGTCTCCATCTCCCTAGACAGAGGTCTATGGAGAAATATTAAGGGTTGGTGCTATCTTCTTGTGTCCCCCACTTGAAGCCCTCTGGGGTTCATCTTTGCTCAGGGCCTCACCTGCTGTCCCCGGCTGGAGCCTTGTGATGCAAGCGCTGCGGTGGAAAGAGCGGTCAGCCCAAGGTTCAAACCTTGGCTTCACTGTGTGACCTTGAAAAGTTGCTTAACCTTGAGCCTCAACTTCCTAATTTATATGATGGGAATAGTAGCATCTGCCTTAAGAGTTGTGGGGAGTTGTGTTACCTGGTGAGCGCCTGGCACTGACACTTGATGGATGCTGGTTTTCTTCTCTTGATCCCTGAAGGGGCCCACCTGAATCCAGCCTTCTCCCTGTCCATGTGCCTCCTGGGACGCCTCCCCTGGGCCAAGCTCCCCATTTACTGCTTTGTGCAGCTACTGTCTGCTTTCTGTGCGTCCGGAGCCACCTATGCTCTCTACTATGGTAACAGAGGGAATGACAGCGGGGGCACCCATGTGTGGGCAGGGGTGCCTTGGAACAGTTTTGAATGAGCAAAAGTGGAAATCCTGGGTGTCCCCCCCCCCACCCCCCGCCAGATGCCCTACAGAACTATACAGGTGGGAACCTGACAGTGACTGGCCCCAAGGAGACAGCTTCCATTTTTGCCACCTACCCTGCTGCCTATCTCTCCCTGAATGGAGGCTTCCTGGACCAGGTAGGTGTGAGGGGGACACCTGGGAGATACTTGAACTTTGCCTCTGGCCTCTGGGGCCCCAGCCAGTTGTTCAGGCTATGGGTAGGAGGGGATGTGGGATTGGGCCTATCTTTGCACCCCCCCCCCCAATCCCAGCTGCCTGTGTTGGACAAAGTCAGGTGACATGGAGTGGTGGCCTGGACTGTCGGGGTGAGAGAGGGCAGATAGAACATTTGGCAGCTGATGGGAGCCCTCCAACTCTGTCAACTGCAAGGTTCTGGGCACCTGGATGCTGATTGTGGGGATCCTGGCCATCCTGGACACACGGAACAAGGGAGTACCTGCAGGTCTGGAGCCCGTGGCAGTGGGGCTGCTGATCTTGACCATCGGGCTATCCATGGGTGCCAACTGTGGGTACCCACTCAACCCTGCCCGGGACCTGGGCCCACGGCTTTTCACCTACGTGGCCGGCTGGGGCCCTGAAGTCTTCAGGTGGGAGATGGCCTCCCCTGGTGCTGTCCCTCCACTCACCTCCTCCTGCTAAGGGCTCTGTCCCTGGGTCCCCAGCTCTCTCCTCTTGGCCTCTTGGGACAGTGTCCCTCTGCTAAGCCCCATTTCTCTCTTTCTTCCTGAACCCCTCTTCCCCCGCCTCCACCCTTTTCACGGAAACAGTAAGATTTAGAGGTTGTGTTCTTGGACTCATATTACCTCTTTGGGCATTAGTGACCTCATCAACAAAATGGGTATATTCAGATAATTCCCTGACAAGAGGCTGGACCAAGCTCTCCTGGGGGCCTCTCCTCTCTAAGCGCTATGTTTTGGTGCCAACACACCCTCTTCCTGGGGTTGATCACCCCAGGAACTGCTTTAGGGGGCGCTCTTGTTATTGGCCCCAGTCCTTCAAGGGGAAGGCTAAGGGAGTCAGCCCTGATACCTCCCTTTTGCCCCTCTCTTGCAGTGCTGGTAATGGCTGGTGGTGGGTGCCTGTGGTGGCCCCTCTGGTGGGGGCCACCCTTGGCACAGCCACATACCAACTGCTGGTGGCTCTGCACCACCCTGAGGACCCAGAGCCAGCTCAGGATCTAGAGTTGGCCCAATATAAAGCCTCGGACTTTAAAACGCCTGCCCCAGCCCAGACCCCAGCGTATAAGCCATGCTTCTGACACCGCAGTCCTCACCTCCCTCATGGACACTGAAGAAGGCCAGAGACCCAGGCTTGGGGACAAGACATTCTTTCTCTTTATTAAGACACCAGGCCCTGCGCAGCTTCTCTGTTTACTCATCTAGGCATCGCTTCCTCCTCAACGGGACGGTGCCTGCACAGGGAGGAGGATGCGGCCCGGGGACCCGAGCGCTTCACCCCCTCCTCCCCCCAGCCAGTGTTCGGACCCTGGAGGGCTTCCAGGAACGCAGTTCCTCAAAGTAGCCGCCAGAGGGTGCGCACCCTGGAATCCGGACTGGGAAGGAGGTGGGAATGTGCAGTGCAGGGCAGGGGGCGGGGGGGGGGGCGACCATCCCGTGGGGGAGCATAACCCTGGGGACTTCCTCCAAAGCTTGGTCCCCACTGCCTAACTCCCAGTTCTCGTAACTTCAGCGCCGCCGCCCCTAGATTCAGCCACCCCCGGAGAGTAGGCACGGGTGGGGAAACGGCCTCCACCAAGGGGGCGTGGTGGGGTGGGGGGACACGGGAGGGCTGGCCGCGGAACACAGCGGTGCGAGCGCCTAGAGACCCGGAGAGCAGGACGAGGAAACGGAGGCACAACCCAGGACTTAGGCACTCCGGGCTTTGTCATTCAGGGACGATGCCGCCCAACGAGATGGGCCAGGGCGAGGAGAGAGGGCCAAGGCACCGAGGGCTGCGGGGGGACCGAGTGGGGCTGAGGGGAGGCTGGCGCTGAGCTCGTTGGCCACGGCCTCCCCGGCGCTCCGCCCCTGCCCGAAGGAGACGCTCTTTTAGCAGAGAAGTCAGCTTTCTCCAGTTCCCTTTCTTTCAAATAAAACCCGAGCCGTCGCGCCTCCTTGATTGATTGATTGATGTTTGGAGGCGGGATGGAGGTGGCAGTGGGTGGGGCTGGGACGCGGCCTCGCCGTGGGGACCCCGGAAAAGTTAAGACCCTCCCCCTGCCCCGCACAAAGATGGCGAATCCCGCCTCCCCCCTGGTAGTTGAATGAATCTAATCGGAGGCTTGAGATGTGAAGCAGTAGGATGTAGGGTAAGTGTGACAATATCCCGAGAAGAGGAGGTGGGGCTCCGCGTGGGTGCGAAGCCCTCATCTGGAGCCATGACAGGAGANCCTCTCCCGCCACCTCCGTCACTTCCGCCCCGCCGTGGCCGAAACTGACACAAAGTAGCGGGCCGAGGCTCCGGGGGGAGCGGGGCTGCAGCTGGGGGGCGGGAGCCCGCGGGGAGCCGAGCCGAGCGCCCCCCGCCCCAGCCCCCGGCATGGGCAGGACGGGGCCGCCGGGGCGGGCGCCGAGCGCTGAGCGCTGAGGTGAGGCCGGGCGAGGCGGGGCGGCCACGGAGCGCGGGCGGAGGGCAGATGCGGCTGCCGACTGGGACTCCGGGCCGGAGGGGCCGGGAGGCGGGTGTGGGCTGGGGAGGACCGGACAGGGAGTCGGCAGCCAGGGAGACGAAGGAGGGAGTGCCTGGAGAGAAGAGGGTGCCGGGGTGCCGGAGGATGGGCGCCTTGGAAAGCTGTCTGCAAGATGGGAGGATGGGGTGCTGAAGGGGCGCGTGGAGACTAGGCAAGGGGCGCGGGAGTGCGGAGGAGTAGCTAACGGAGCCGCGGAGAGGGGAGAGCCGCCCACAGATCGGGGTGAGAGGCGTAACCGGGGTCCCAGGGTGTGGGTGCCTGGAGAAGGGAGCTGGGGGCCGGTAGGCTTTGTCTCTGTCAGGTGGACATCTGTGGGCCGGAGAGGTGCAGCCCTGGGCGCTCAGAACTGGGGAGCGAGTCCTGGGTTCTGCCCTCGCCGGGGAAGGTGGGGGTCTGGGTGGTAGCGGCGGCAGGTGAGCTGGGGGTCTTGGATTCCGTGGGCTGCTGTTTCCCTGCCCAGCCCGCAGATAGCCCTGCCAGCCTCCTCCGAAAGGAGGGGTCAGCCTTCCCGGGCTTGGGCTGGAAGGGAGCAGGGGCCTGGCCGGCAGGAGGAGCCTTTTCCTCCATGGACCATTGCCTTCTTCCCAGAGCAGCTATTTTTATCCCAAATGTGGCTGCAGAGGGGGCTGGGGCTGGGGCAGGGCGACAGGGCAGGGCGACGTGGCTCACGGCCCTGACAGACTATGTGAGACCAGGAAGGAGAAGTGAGAGGGGTCCCTGTTCTCAGGTCTCCCCCTCCCTTTCCCTTCTTCCCAGGGCCCCCAGAGGGGATGAGGTCTGGGGCCAAGCCAGCTTTCAGTCTCCCCAGGGTCCTGGAGGTAAAACAACTTTCCTGGTCGGTGTCCAGACGCCTGACTCCTGAACCTGAGTGAGGCTCCTTCATTAACTCCTTGATAGGACCCAAGCCGGGATCTGTGGGCTGACAGCGTTTCTTGCTTGCCTCCCTCAAAGGGCGGGGCCGGCCTTGGGACTTGAGAAGCCCACCCTTGCATCCTGTCCTTTGACCTCTCCCCCCACACCCCACCCTTCCATGACTCACACTCCAGACTGGGTGGAGACCCTGGCTGGGGGCCCTGAGGGAGGGCCCGGCATCTCTAAAATGTGGATGAGGTTTTTCTTCCTGAGGCAGGCACCCCGGCCTGCCAGGGCTGGGGAGGGTCAGGGAGGAAAAGGACTTCTGGCTCTCAGTATTGCCTGATCTGGGGTCCAGGAAGGGAGTCTGAGTTTGTGAAGCGAGGACTGGTGTGGGTGACTGGCTGTGGCCAGAGTCTGTAATTATAGAGGTTGAGCAGACAGGCAATTAGTATCTCTTGGAGCTGACAGGCCGGTGGGGTGTGCCCAGTAGTCTGGAGACAGGGAACCAAGGAGGAGGAAGGCTTTCCACCCGGACAAAGAAAGAGGAGGTGACAAGAGTACCCAAGACCTAGCTGGCAGTTTCCATTGGGCCAGGCTGAGGCTCTGTGACCCTGTCTTGTAAGCCAGACCTTTTACCGCTTTAGGTGAGAGGAAAGACTTGGGAAGATGGCAGGAAGCAGAGGCCCATCTGACATGCTCCTTGCCAGGGCCATACCGACCTGACTGGGCTTGGGAGAGAGCGGGACAACCCCCTGCTGGGGCTGGGAAGACCCCTGTGCTTGTTTAGAAGGGTGGCTGACCCAGACTTACAGGAAGTGGTTTGGGGACGACATGCAGGAAGTGAAGGCCATGTTTCTCATGTGAGCTCCCCTGGAGGAGGTGATAGTGGGAGCCCCAGTCATGGGGCGATGGGAGGATTATAAACTTTTTGAGAAGGGTGGAGCCTGCCACCCCGTTTCCTGATGCTCTGCCAGGTGTTTCCTGGCTGCGATCCCTCAACCCCACCCCTTGGTGGTTATCCTGCTTTCCAGCAAACACAGGCACCACTCATTGCCACCAAGAGGGCACATGGGGGCATCCATTGTCCCTGGGATGGGTACCTTGAGAGCTGTGCCTTTCCCATCAATATCCAGCCTCCAGTCTCTGCGCGCTTCCTTTCCCAGCACGCCTTGGATGTTGTAAGCTGTCAGTTGTCCCATGTTATCCAAGGCAGAGGCATTGGGGAGAGGCGGCGGGGCAGGCCTCTCTTCCTCAGGGGCCCATCAGGGCAGTGAGAGCAGCGTTGGTGGGGAGTAGGTGGAGGAAGGCCGCGGAGGGAGCGCAAGGTCAGGTCTGAGGTCCAGAACCTTCAGGAGGGGTCTGAAGAGGGGAATGAAGCTTCTGACCTCAATCACATGTCACCTTCCTGCAGGGTCTCCCATGGGATTGCTGGGACCTTGCTGGGTGAGATGGCACTGTGTGCAAAAAAGCGCCCCCCAGGTAAGACAGGAGGTGGGGGTGTCCCTGGGACCGTCAAGAGTGGGTGTTATGGCTCAGGGAGCAAAGAGAAGGAGTCTGACGGAGGGTAGATTGCAACCCCTGCCCATCCCAGGGGGAGCCTGGGAAACCGAATTCTTCTCCTTGATCCCTAAGCTGGGTCCCCCCCCCCGAGGGTGCTGAGTACCTGCCCCTCGCCCCCAGACACGCAGACTAGCACCCGGAGCTTCCGTTCTCTGGCCTGGGGACCCTGGGGAGCTGTGTTCCCATCGAAGCCCCTCCGTCCTCACACCTCCTTGTCTCCTCCCCGCGTTCTCCCCTCCTTTCCTCATCACCCCTGGTCCTTCTGGTTTTCCTGCGGGCGGGGGTTGGGGTGGGACGAAAGTGGTTGCCCCCGACAACGCCGGCAGTCCCCTCACCCGCATTGGCCGGGCGTGGAGGCGGGGCTGGGCGCGGGCTTTCGCCTACGCGGCGCTGGCAGGCGGCAGCCCTGCAGTCGCGGAGCGGGCGGGGGGGCGGAGCCCAGGGCGTGCGCGCCGCGCTCGGGGCCGCTCAGTGCGCGGTGTCCGCGGGGCCTCGGGGGCGGCGGAGTGCGCGGCGTCCCGGGTGAGGGCGGCCGCGAGGATGGCAGGGGCCGCAGGTGGGGCGCGCGCCCGACGGCCGGGGCTCCTGCGCCTCCCGGGGGGGCCGCCCCATCGGCGCCGCTGAGCCCAAGGACGGACTGACAGACCGTCCGCTCTCCCCCCGCTCAAACCGGGATCATGACGATCCCCAAGGAGATGCCAGAGAAGTGGGCCCGGGCCGGGGCGCCCCCCTCCTGGAGCCGAAAGAAGCCCTCTTGGGGGACAGGTAACGGGAGGCAGCGACCGGCAGCTCTCCCGAGCCCCTAATTTTCCCTCTCCCACCCTCATATTGTCCTCAGCCTCCCCCAACCTTCCCTGATCCTCTCCTTTCCAGACCCAGAGGTCCTGGCTCTGAAGCGTCCCATCCCTCACTCTCTCTTTGCAAGACTGGGCAGGGGGTCTCAGCCACAGGGCTTCCCTCTGGGCAAGTTCTTGGGACTAAAGTGACAGTGCAGGGAGGGAGTGCCCTGTTTAGGCAGAGGGTGCTGTGGTCGCAGGTTTTGTTACTGCAGTGTGTCCTGCGGGGGTCTGGAGGGGGTGAGAGGAAGGGTCTGAAATGCTGCTTTTGATTCCAGGATGGGTTTAAGGCATTGTGTTTATCACCTAACCAGTTTGCCTCCCTTTTTCAGCCTGTGGTCACAGTGACCTCGGGAGATGGGCTGGAGAACCCTTCATGGGACACTCCCATGCTCTGTACCTGAACTTGGTGCCTACAGCCCCAGATCTGCAGAGGTTCAGCATAGGCGTAGCTCATATGCCACTCACTCAGTGACAAATGTGTTGTGTAGGGCAAATTGTGCGCAGATGGCGTGAGAAAGGTTACAGTTAGAGAGCAACTGTTTCAAGTGCATCACGTTCCTCCCTCCTGCGTCTCTGTCTCACTCTGCATGACCCATATCCCTGACCCACCCCCACTTCTACTTGAAGATGAGCTTTAAAATAAGGTGATGTCATTGTGGGCCAGTCAGAAGCCGCTGCTGGCGACATGTGACAAGCAGCGCCTCCTGTAGGGGGGCCTGCACGTGGGGCTGGGATGCTGCCGCAGAGCGGTTCCAGGGCACGGTGACCCTCCGTCTTGCCACCCACCGCCCAGGTTAAAGGAGGATAGCACTATGGCTAGAATTGACGGGTTCCCAGGGGAAGGAAGCTTTGTGGCTCCAGCTGCTTTCCTCTGGGGCTTCCCAAGACCACGACTGCCTAAAGTATTAATTAAAGGGACGGGGAGAGGAACTGAGCGCCCCCAGGGGAAGACCTTGATGGGTATTGGTGAGGAAAGAAGGCATCCTGCCTTGTGAGTGATGCCTGCAGAGCCCAGCAGTCAGGCTGGGGGAGAGAGGTGGAGCAGAGGGAAGAACTGTGTGACACCTCCGGTGTAGCACTAATCCCTTAAAGCTGTATGTGGTGGAAAGAACCAAGGGCCCCCAGTGGAAGCCCCCCAAAGTGGGGTGGGCCTGACAGGGTGCTGGGCCAGGCCTTCGTCTGCTGTTCCTGATGGCAGCACCATTCTGTTGCAGAAGAAGAAAGGAGGGCGCGGGCCAATGACCGAGAGTACAATGAGAAATTTCAGTATGCGGTGAGTGGCTCCAGACCCCCAGTTCGAAGCCTCCTCCTGAGCTGGAAAGCGGAACCCTGCAGGCACATCCTAGGCTGAGTGGGGCGAGGGGGCTGGATGGGAGAGTGCTCGGGGGAGTGGAGGGTGGCCTCCACGACACTCTCCATCTGCTGTTGTGCTGAATTTTTTATGCCTTCACCTGTCAGTGAAGCGGACGCACTGGCCCCCTGAGACTTCCTTCTCTCCTCCTCGTGCCCCCTCCCACACCTGTGGTTGCTGGCTTCGGGGGTAGAGGTTTGGGGCAGCGTAGGAGGAAGAGGCGGCCTCATTATCTTCTCTCCCACGGCCACAGAGTAACTGCATCAAGACCTCCAAGTACAATATCCTCACCTTCCTGCCTGTCAACCTCTTTGAGCAGTTCCAGGAAGTTGCCAATACCTACTTCCTGTTCCTTCTCATTCTGCAGGTATGTGTCTCACGGTAGACCCCATGCAACTCGCAAAGCCAAATACAGTCAAGGAAGAGAAAGGTCTAGGGGAGACGAGGGCGTAGGGTGGGGCCGCGGAGGCATGCCTTCTCTTTCCTCTTTACAGTTGATCCCTCAGATCTCCTCCCTGTCCTGGTTCACCACCATTGTGCCTTTGGTTCTTGTCCTCACCATCACGGCTGTTAAAGATGCCACCGATGACTACGTGAGTTGTTTTTATTGCCGTCCCGTCCCCGGTCTAGCTAGATCCAGGATATCTTGGCCGAGGAGTAGGGCCCGGGAGGCAGGGGGAGAGTAGATGTGTGAACAGCTGTGAACAGGTGGTACCCAGTGTGCCCTGCCTTCCACTGGTCAAATCCCTTGGAGCAGGAGACGGCGCCTTACCTTTCTTAATCTCCTTTTCAGTTCCGCCACAAGAGTGATAACCAGGTGAATAACCGTCAGTCTCAGGTGCTGATCAATGGAATGTGAGTGTCTCGTGGAGACTGAGGGCCTTGGGGAGGACGGGTCCTCTGGGCACGTCTTCAGCCACTGACAGCTTCCTCCCTGTCTCCTTCTGGCCTTAGCCTCCAGCAGGAGCAGTGGATGAATGTCTGTGTTGGTGACATCATCAAGCTGGAAAATAACCAGTTTGTGGCGGTAAGGGACCAGGTGGCCCTCTAGGCCTGCAGGACGCTACCTTTTCTTCGGCAGAAAGGAATGCGTGTCTTCTGACTTACTGTTGCCTCTTAAGCACCCATAGAAGGAAGCTTTCTTGAGTGGGAAGTGTGCGTGTCATATTAGCGTGCCTGGGACCAGCTCCTTTCTAGCCACTCATGCGCTTGGGGCTGAGCAAACCGAGAATGCTTGGTGGAAAGAGGGATCATCAGAGAGGCCATTGGGGGCCGGAGGGCTGGGTCTCTGGCTTCTCATTGGGTTTTCTCTCTAGGCGGATCTCCTCCTCCTTTCCAGCAGTGAGCCCCATGGGCTGTGTTACATAGAGACAGCAGAACTCGATGGGTGAGTTGCGTGGTCGGTGTCACACCTTTCCTTCTGCCTCCTTTGGGGTAAAAAGCTTGTTTTTTTTTTTAGATTTTTTTTTATTGGGAAATTGGGGGGATGGAAACAGCGCTGGGGAATTGGGGGAAGGGGAACAGACAAGTTGCTGTCCTTTTGTTCTTCAGTCTAGTTGTGGAGGACGTTGCTTCACTGGCCCAAGTTGGCACCATCATTGCGCTCTTCCCGGGCGAGGCAGATCAGTCGCCGGCTTCTGGACGGCTGCTCACTGCGGCTGCTGGCCGCTCACGCTGGCTGCTGGCTACACACGGTAGCCCATGGCAACCCACTGCCACAGGGGCTGCAGCCTACGCCGTCGCCGGCGACTCCCGGCAGCCCAGCTCCAGGTTGAGCTGTTGTTCAGCATCTTAGCTGTGGAGGGCAGTGTCACTGGCCCTCATATGTGGGATCCGAACCGGGGCCCTCTGGTGTCCCAAGCCAGTTCTTAACCATTGCGCCACTCGGCCGGCCCTAAAAAGCTTGTTTTTGAAAGAGGTTCCCAGGTGTGGAATGTGTACCTTTTGGAAAACTTCAGGAAAGCAAGACTTTGGGTGTGTAGAAGTATTGCTCGCCCAGTAATGCTTAGGGGCCGTGATGCCACATGGTCAGGTGCACTCTCAGGTCAAACGGAGAAGAAGGGAAGGGAGCCAGGACTCAGGATCACTGTCTTTGCAGAGAGACCAACATGAAGGTGCGTCAGGCGATTCCAGTCACCTCAGAGTTGGGAGACATCAGCAAGCTCGCCAAGTTCGATGGTGAGTAGCTTCGGAGAAGTTGCTCTCAGGTAGAGGAGGTGGTTGGGTTGGGGGTTGAAATTGCACTCTGTCTGTCCTTTTGGCTTGTTGCTGTGATTATGCAGTGCCCTGGATGCTTGGTGGGCGGGGAGGGAGGGTGGGAGGGGCGGCGGTGGTGTCACCAGGAATGCCTGGTAGCTTCCAGTCATTTTTGAATTAACAGTCATTTCCAGAGATCTTCACGGCTGATAGCTCCCCATGTACTGTGCGTATTGAGAGAATTTCAGCTTCTTCTTTCTTATTCTCGTTCAGTTCAGAATAGCGATATGTGCTCCTTCTATCTAACAAGACAAGCTGTACAGTGCGTATAGGAAAACGGCCTCCTGTCCTCCAGCTTTGCCCTCTTAGGGAGCTGGGTTGACTGGCAGTTGAGTGTGTTTTCATCCACACTTTTCTATATGTTGATACAAATATGTGACCCTAAATCAGTGGCATCACACTGTCCCCAGATCTCTGCAGCCTGCCTTTCTTTACCTATGAAATTCATCATCGTTACCTTATCACATCATATCACTATAAAGAAGTTGACCTTAGCCTCTTTAATAGCTGTATAACGTTACGTAGAATTGATGTGTCATAATTTATTCAACTGGTCCCTGACCATTCATTCAATGGTTCCCGGTCTTCTGCTGTTTAAATAACGCTTCAATAAAAACCCTTCTGCTCTGTAGAACAGGTACCTGAGTTGGGATTATCCTTTTAATATCAGTTCATGTCGCCTGTTTTCCTTTCTCCCAAAGTGACGTGGGTCCACAGTCCCACCAGCAGGGTGTGGACGGCCTGCGGGCTCACACCCTCCCCCTCCGTGGCTCTTTCTGTTTTGTCCTCTGGCGGGCAAGTTTAGAGCTGGCTTTCCTCTCCTGTTCCTTCAGGCGAAGTGATCTGTGAGCCCCCCAACAACAAGCTGGACAAATTCAGTGGCGCCCTCTACTGGAAGGAGAACAAATTTCCCCTGAGCAACCAGAACATGCTGCTGCGTGGCTGCGTGCTGCGGAACACGGAGTGGTGCTTTGGCCTGGTCATCTTTGCAGGTGAGCCTCCTAGGGTCCAAGGAAAGAAGGGCAAGACTTGGCCTCAGCCCTTGGTCAGGGACGTGGGAGGAGGCTGAGCGGGCTGGTCCAGCCCTGAAGACAAACCTCCCGTCCACCCCGATGTCCTGAGTCTGGGGACCCGGGCCGAAGCCCGGAGGCACGTTGGTGACTTGGCTTTCCCAGCCCTTCCGCTTCCTCTCTAGGTCCTGACACTAAGCTGATGCAGAACAGCGGCAGGACGAAATTCAAGAGAACAAGTATTGATCGCCTGATGAATACACTGGTGCTCTGGGTAAGCCCTTCCCACCCGTGGTCTCTGTCCCTGCCTGGCTGGCTCTCCCTTTGCACCCACCTCCCCTCCCGGGTCAGTAGCCAAGCTTCAGGGTTTGGCTTTCAAGCCACCAGCAGGTCAGCCACTCAAAGGCAGTGTTCATTGCAGGCTCCTTGCAGAAGTGGGAGATATTATTTTTAAAAACCTCGGGAACGTGCGTGAGTCAACAACTTAAAGAAAGCTAAAACAAGTCTTCCCTTCTCTGGATTCCAGTTCTGACGATGACTTCGTGTAGCATGTGACCTTCTGTTTGCTTTTGCCCGGGACAAGGAGGCCTTCATGGGGAGTGAGAGGGAGTTAAAAGAAAAATTTCCATTCGGAGGATGGAGAATGGGGTCTTTTCCCCTGACTTCTAAGAGTGAAGGGTCCCAAAGGAAAAGTTTCTGGTTTCGTTCTTTTGGCGATTCCTGAATCGTTCTCTTGTTTGCCTAGAAATTTGAGCTCCTTGTCAGGTTCTTCTCCCCTTTTCTCCTCCCCTTCTCGCACCCCCACTGCCTGCTGCCTGCCCCCCACATGCCAGCTTGCGAAGGCTGAGGCCAGACGGTTTCCGCCCTGGCCTTACAGGGTGTGCAGAAACCCAGGCTGAGGGAGACTGCTGTCTGTCAGGCAGAGACTCGCATCGCCCCCTGGTGGCCATTGGGCACCAGGCTGGTTCCTGTTTTGGTCCAGAGCCTCAAGAGCCCAGGAAGCTTTGCAAAAAAGATGTCTGAAATCCGACGGTGGTCTCGAATTTTTTCTTTTAACTTCCAGAACTTCTTTAGGATCCTTTTCCAAAGACTCCAAGCTTTATAAGATGTTTGGCTATCAAGAAATCTACATTTATGAAAATACAATTTGTTTCTCTGGTTTAAAAAAATGGGGGTGGGCGCAATCTGTATGAGATCGTGACCATGATGGACACTTGGCACTGTTGTTGGCTGGTGGAGGCTTAGCTCAGGTTGATGGGTGATTTCCAGGAAGCTGCTTTGGTGTGTGGAAAGTAGCTCACCCCCACTCGTACCATCTTCGAGACCTTGTAAGGGTTCTAGGATGTTGGACTGGGAACTGCATAACTATTTCCGCTTCCCCGTCATCCAGACGGGAGGCCTCAGGAGGATCAGGGGCAGACTTAGAACCTGTCTGTCACCAGTTCCAGGCGCTTCCCACTAGAACGTGCCACCATGTTAAAGATGCCTGAGCTTTTGAGGGCTCAGGTATGAACCTCGCTTCTGCTTCTCATTCCTCCCCAGATTTTTGGGTTCCTGGTCTGCATGGGGGTGATCCTGGCCATTGGCAATGCCATCTGGGAGCACGAGGTCGGAATGCGTTTCCAGGTCTACCTGCCCTGGGATGAGGCTGTGGACAGTGCCTTCTTCTCTGGCTTCCTCTCCTTCTGGTCCTATATCATTATCCTCAACACCGTCGTGCCCATATCGCTTTATGTCAGGTATGTGACACCCCGCGGTGTCTCCAGGGAGCTCAGGGGTGGGAGGTTGGGGAGGGGCTTGGGAAAACTTCCCTTGTCTACAAAGGTGAACTCCTGGAGAAGAAACGGGGCACCCTCTCCTTCCTGTGCTGCAACCACTTTATGTTACCTGGTTCTCTTTGTGGGCAGAGCTCGCTTCGGCTTCCTGGTCCTTTGGACTGTATGAGAATGAAAACCGTGTTGGTTTCCTTGGCACATGTTAATGGCATGCCCACTTTGTGCAAAGAAGCCCGTTAGGGGCGTGGCACACACAAAGTTGTGTTAGGGATCGCTCGCTGTCCTTCCGGGAGCCTCTGTCTAGCAGAGGAAGGAAAATCTCAACGTAAGAGTGGGGACAAGGCCTATAGAAGTCATTCTACCGACAGACGTCCGTGTACAGCAAGGGGACACAGAGATGTGGAACGTGGCCTCTGTCTTCAAAAGTAGCAGGCCTGTGGGGGTGGGGGGACAAACAGTGTAAGGCGCCGCGATACCATGCGGGAGGCCCTAAGTGACCTGACGGACGGAAGTGCGTCTTTCCTGGAGCAGTCCATCAGGGCGGACATCTCTGAAGAGGTGACTGTCGCCCTGGGCTTGAGTGGTGGCTGGGTCAGGTGAGAGTGGAGCGGGGGAGAGGCCGAGGAACGAAGGCTTGGGGGTGGGAACCTAGGAATGGTGGGGAACAGTTTAGCTGGGGGGGCAGAGAGCTGGAAACCTAGTGGACGGACTTACATCTTTGTCTCTGGCCTTTGTCCTTAGTGAACCATTAAAGGATTCTTTTAAAAAAAAAAAGATCTAAAGGATACTTTAGGAAGCGTTGGCAGGCAGGGGCGTGCATGAATAGGCTCGAGGATGCTTGCGGTAAAGAGATGTTAACAGGACTGGGCCAGTGACCATGAACTTGGGTGGTGGGGGCGTGCAAAAGGGGGAAGGAAGCACTGGCCAGAAGAGAGAGATTTTCTTTCGCACTTGGTGCCATGAGACGAGGGAACCAGCAACGTTTTTAGGGAAATGCTTTGTGGAGCTGCTCAGACTCTTCCCGTGTGCCGTGTTTTTGTCCATACAGCTTCCCCAGGTAGCCTGAAATGTCCCCACTAGCCCCCGCATCCTAGTGCCGAGGGCAGAGATGGAGGTGGCATTTCTGAGGCTGGACAGATTGGGCTTTCCTAGAACATGGGGACTCGGAGGTTCGGGGGCTGGTCCTGCCTTGTCCTTAGGCACGTGAACTCAGGCACCTCCACAGTCGCTGGGGGCCTCGGTTTTCTCCTGTAAAACGGGAATAAGAATACCTGGCCCGCCTTTTCCAAAGGGACTTCTTGATATCGGATACTAGACTGGAAACTAATAGTTGAAAACTTAAACTATTGCACATCCATGGTTATCATTGTTAAGTGATTCCTTCCTTACTATTTAAATGTTTTCTTGCCTGCAGCCTAATTTTTTCCCCATCTTTGGGCTTTGCTGTCAGTGTTTTGTATCCAAGCCCATGGTAGCTGCCTGAGAAAGTTTTCTTTTCACGTCTCATCAAGTGAACAGTGTGTGTGTTTGGGGGAGGCGGGGAGCTGCTTGATCAGCTCAGTGGTAGGAGGCGATGGAGGTATTTCCAGCCAGCTCAGGTCTGGCCTGGTCGCTGGATCCTGACAGCAGCCTCAGGCCACAGCAGGGTTTCCGCTGTGGCCCCATCACTTGGCTGCACTGGACTTAAACACAGGGTCCTTTCTGAATCTCTGACAGTCCGTATCCCAGAGGTACTGCCTGGCAAAGAAGGGCGTGAACAGACCTCGAGGTGTTGCGAGCACCACACGCTTGTGAATTGGTGTCATTTCTCAGAGTCTTGGGGTCCCCCCCTTCCGGAGTCAGCATCTCCGTTGACCAGGAGCTCTTTCTGAAAGCCACAGAGTAGGATGTGGAGCCCTAAGGCAGGTGGGGGGAGCGTGTCGGAGGTGTTGGAGCAGGGAGGGTGGGCTCAGCCTTCGCGGCTTCCTCTCCGCACCGGGGGACCCTTTGTGGTGGCCCCTGAGTTGCTGTGGCTGGTGCAGCACCCTCATCACTTCTCTTTTTTTCCCTCTCCCTTTCTTCTCACGTTTTCTCTTGTTTTCTCTGCATGGTTTCTGTGTTATTAGCCCTGAGGTAAGAAGTGGTCGAGAACCTTGTGTGCAGCCCCTTTCTTCCTCCTCTACCTGTGCCACCTGCCCAGGCCCTTTGCACCTTTTTATCTGGAGCGCACCAGAGGGTTGGGGCCGGGGACTTCCTCCACCTGCTGTGTGTGGCCAGGCCCCCTTCAGGCTCTCCTCGCCCTTCCCACCCCCGAGGTTCCTCAGCCCAGGTGTCCACTCTGTCCTCGTCTGTCCCAGCTGGAGGGCCTGCAGCGGAGGCCCGTGGGGGGTTGGTGGAGAAAGGGGGGCGGCACCTCCTCCGCTTCCCACCCAGCCTGACTCCTGTCCCCCGTGCAGTGTGGAGGTCATTCGCCTGGGCCACAGCTACTTCATCAACTGGGACAAGAAGATGTTCTGTGCGAAAAAGCGGACGCCGGCGGAGGCCCGCACCACCACGCTGAACGAGGAGTTGGGTCAGGTGGAGCACATCTTCTCTGACAAGACGGGCACCCTCACCCAGAACATCATGGTCTTCAACAAGTGCTCCATCAACGGCCGAAGCTACGGTACGTGGTGCCACCGGGCACCGGGCGGGGCGGCTTGCGTCTCACCCGGAAGGAGAGTGCTGCTGGGGCTCCCACAGTTGTCTGGACATCTGGGTCTTGACTTCTTTCCTGCTGGGGCCCATGGGGCCTGGAAAGGGTCCACTCTATCCTGTGTCCGGACACAGACACTGACCAAGCTTCCCTGTCCTCTGCTGACGCCCTCACCCTGGTGCCAGCTCCGGGCCGTCGGGGAGCGCCTTGGCTGGTTGAAGTGAAGCCCCAGACACGGGCCTCTGGGCGCCGCGGCCGGGTTGGACCTTGGCTGCCCCGGTGGAGTGCTAGACTCTCCCTGTTGCTGTTCAGGGGCCTGTGAGTCTCTGGAATGTGACTATGGTCTTTCCAGCGTGGCCCTGCGGCAGTGGCCTTGTGGCTGAGCTCTGGGACGGCTTGGGGCGGGGGTGTGGCATCTGACCTTTGTGCAGAGTGAACCCCTCTTCTAACTGCTTTCTGTACTAACCCTGGCCATCTGGCCAGCGTGTGAGGCTGTGCCTGCTGTGGAGGCCCACGGAGCGAAAGGCACCCCGGGAGGCCCGGGGAGGGGTGTGGACCTGGAGTTGCCCTGGGGGGAGAGCTGGTGGGGGGTCTTGGGAACGGGATGGGGAGCAGTGGGCACCGTGACTTTCAGTTGTGGGGTTCTGAGGATCCAGGGTGCCTGGCGCCGCCTGTCCCCCGCAGTCAGCAGTGTCCCGTTTGCTCAGTGGTTTGGGTTGCGGGTTTCAGGTGCCTGTGGGGGTTCTGTGCTGCAGCTTCTCCCCTCGCCCTGAGGGGGCTCTGGCCCTGACGTTGCTTCTCCTCTGTCCTGGCCGTGTGTAGGGGACGTGTTCGATGTCCTGGGACACAAAGCTGAGTTGGGAGAGGTAAGACCCGGCTTCTGTTATTCTGTGTGTGCCACTTCACCATAGGACGCCTGACCAGGAGCAGCCGGTGGAGTTAGTGGTGTGTTTGTTGTCTGGTCAGGATATGGGAGCAGAGGGAGTTTTTTGAAAATTTCATTTTGATTGATGTATTTCTTTTAAAACAACAGAAACGTGTTCTCTTACACTTCTGGAGGTCACAAGTCCAAAATGAGTCATATAGGTGTGGTGAGGCGTGCTGGGCCACCCTTGGTGATGTGTCGAGGCTGGGGTCTCTGCCTGTCTGAATTTTTCTGGAACTTTCTCCCCTTGCTAACGTCAGGAGTTGGCAGAGCTGGTTCCTTCTGGGTCCCCAGGGGAGAATCTATTCCCATCTACTGCAGCTTCTAGAAGCTGCCCCCAGTCCAGCCTCTGCCTCCATCATCAACTCCCTTCTCTAACTCACCTGCTGCTTCCTTCTTAGGCAGATCCTTGTGTTTTGGGGGTTTTTTTTAATTTTATTTTTAATTACTATTTTATTGTTTTTCAGTTACAGTTGGCATTCAGTATTAGTCTCAGGTGTACAGCACAGTGATTAGACATTTATATAACTTAGCAGTGGGAATTTTCAGGTCCACAGTGGACCTTTCTACCAAGAGTTGGAAGGGCGGGGACAGCCCCTTCCCTGGGAGGCCGCCTGGCCACCCACTGTTGCCTAAATGTCCTCTTACCTGCCCCAGAGGCCTGAACCCGTCGACTTCTCCTTCAATCCTCTGGCCGACAAGAAGTTCTTATTTTGGGACCCCACCCTCTTGGAGGCTGTCAAGGCGGGGGACCCCCACACGCACGAGTTCTTCCGCCTCCTCTCCCTGTGTCACACTGTCATGTCAGAAGAAAAGAACGAAGGTGAGCCACTGGAGCTAGCCTGCGCTCTCCCCGACCTGACCCGTGCCTTTGAACTTGGACTCTGCTCTGCAGTGTGGCCGGCCCGGGGCCTCCTGGGCAAGGCACGTGGCTGAGGTGGGGGCCGCTTAGCCTCTCGTGTTCTTTCTCCTCGCCCAGGGGAGCTGTACTATAAAGCGCAGTCTCCGGATGAGGGGGCCCTGGTCACCGCGGCCAGGAACTTTGGTTTCGTGTTCCGTTCTCGTACCCCCAAAACCATCACTGTCCACGAGATGGGCACAGCCATCACGTACCAGCTGCTGGCCATCCTGGATTTCAACAACATTCGCAAGCGGATGTCGGTCATAGGTGAGGCCAGGACCGGGGGTTCGGGGCAGCATTCGGGCCTGGAATGGCTGAGGTGTGCTGGGCGGCCCCTGGTGACCTGTTGAGGTTGGGGTCTTTGCCTGCTGAGTTTGTCTGGGACTTTTCTCCCCTTGCCTCGCTCCCAGTGCGGAATCCCGAGGGGAAGATCCGACTATACTGCAAAGGGGCCGACACCATCCTGCTGGACAGGCTGCACCCGTCCACCCAAGAGCTGCTCAACACCACCACTGACCACCTGAATGTAGGTGTGCGGACAGGTGGGGCCTTGGGCTCTGCTGCTTTTGGTGGTGTTGGGGGAGGTGGGGTGACTGTGCTGACTCTGCCCCCAGGAATACGCCGGGGAAGGGCTGAGGACCCTGGCACTGGCCTACAAGGACCTGGATGAAGAGTACTATGAGGAGTGGGCTGACCGACGGCTCCAGGCCAGCCTGGCCCTGGACAACCGGGAGGACAGGCTGGCCAGTGTCTACGAGGAGATCGAGAGTGACATGATGGTACGGGCTCTGGAGTGGGCCAAGGGTGGGCGAGGACGGCTCGTGTCTGGGACTCGCGTGCCAGAGACCCTTGTGGTATTTCAGCTGCTGGGTGCAACGGCCATCGAGGACAAGCTTCAGCAAGGGGTTCCCGAGACCATCGCCCTGCTGACGCTGGCCAACATCAAGATATGGGTGCTGACTGGAGACAAGCAAGGTGAGAGCCCACCAGGGCGCAGGGGACTGCAGCCCCGCTGGGTCCTTGCACGAGCCTCGGCCGTCAGGCAGGAGCGCGCTGACCTTGCTGGGGGCCTGCCCATAGCTCGTGCATCCTCTTCGTAGAGACAGCTGTGAACATCGGCTATTCCTGCAAGATGCTGACGGATGACATGACGGAGGTGTTCATCGTCACCGGCCACACCGTGCTGGAAGTGCGCGAGGAGCTCAGGTGGGCGGGGCTGCCGGGCTTCTTGGGCCTGAGTCCCCGCCCCTGTCCTGGGAGACCACAGTCTCGCTCCCCCACAGGAAAGCCCGGGAGAAGATGATGGACCCATCCCGCGCCGTCGGCAACGGCTTCACCTACCAGGAGAAGCTTTCTTCTTCCAAGCTCACTTCTGTCCTAGAAGCCGTTGCAGGGGAGTACGCCCTGGTCATCAACGGGCACAGCCTCGTGAGTGTCGCCATCCTCAGCTTGGGCAGCGTCTTTCTGGAGAGCGCTTCTCTCTGAATGGCTTTTCTGTCTCATCTTGTTCTCATTTCCCCTCAGCCTCCGAGGGGCTGTGGTCTTTATGGGGACCGGGTGGCCCTCCTGTGGAAGGCCGGGGCTCCCTCAGGGCTCTCTGTTTCGCAGGCCCACGCGTTAGAGGCAGACATGGAGCAGGAGTTTCTGGAGACAGCCTGCGCCTGCAAAGCTGTCATCTGCTGCCGGGTGACCCCCTTGCAGAAGGCGCAAGTGGTGGAACTGGTCAAGAAGTACAAGAAGGCTGTGACACTTGCCATTGGCGATGGAGCCAATGATGTCAGCATGATCAAAAGTGAGTGTGGGCTGTGTAGGCCGGGTGGGAGGGTGGAGGAGGGGCCCGTGAGGTCCAGGGGATCAGGGCCAACTAGAGGGGAAGGGGGGCTGTACATTGGTGGGCTTGTTCTGAAGCGTGCGGCCATCGTCACCCTCTTGTCCCCTCGTGTCTCCGCAGCGGCTCACATCGGCGTGGGCATCAGCGGGCAGGAGGGGATCCAGGCTGTCCTGGCCTCCGATTACTCCTTCTCGCAGTTCAAGTTCCTGCAGCGCCTCCTGCTGGTGCACGGGCGCTGGTCCTACCTGCGCATGTGCAAGTTCCTCTGCTATTTCTTCTACAAGAACTTCGCTTTCACCATGGTCCACTTCTGGTTCGGCTTCTTCTGCGGCTTCTCGGCCCAGGTACGGAGCTCCTGGCCCACGGGCGTGCCTGTCTGAGTTCCCGAAGGGCAGCGGCTGCATCCATCCTGTTCCCTGCTCAGTCCCGGGGGCCTAGCTCGTGTCAAGTTCATGCATTTAAAAAAAAAACATGCCCATTGAAGGAGTGGAGAAGGAGTTCTAGAACATTCCTTGGGGCTGCACCTGTGCCACGTCAGCCGCCTTCCTCTGCCTGATTTGCGGTGAAGAAGGACCCAGCGTTCACTCCTGTCATTCCCTCTCCCTTTTCCAGACCGTCTATGACCAGTATTTCATCACCCTTTATAACATCGTGTACACCTCCCTACCGGTCCTGGCTATGGGGGTGTTCGATCAGGTACGGGGGAGTTTGATGATCAAGTGGGTTGGGGAGGACGTTGCTATGAAGGGGCCACAGTGATGGTGGTGGGCCCTGAGGGGGCGGCCCTTCCCGCTGGGCAGCATGTGTCTACCTCTCCCTCTCGCTGCAGTCAGCCTGCTGGACAAAGGCTGATGGGGTGCAGTTGGCTGGAAGTTGGATCTATTTAGCTGTCAAAAGAATTTAGAAAGGAGGGACAGGGCCTGCCCTTCACTGTCCTGGGTCACGGTGGCAGCTTCTGAGGCCCCCCCCGCTGGGCACGCGGCCCTACCTCCCCTCGCAGGACGTCCCTGAGCAACGGAGCATGGAGTACCCCAAGCTGTATGAGCCCGGCCAGCTGAACCTGCTGTTCAACAAGCGTGAGTTCTTCATCTGCATAGCCCAGGGCATCTACACTTCCGTGCTCATGTTCTTCATCCCATATGGGGTCTTCGCCGAGGCCACCCGAGATGACGGCACCCAGCTGGCCGACTACCAGTCCTTCGCCGTCACTGTGGCTACGTCGTTGGTCATTGTGGTCAGCGTGCAGGTACGGAGCAGTCCGGGGACTGCCGTGCCCTCTGCCAGGAGTGAGCCTCCTGTCTCTGGGGCTGCTCTGGGTGTGGCCGCGCTGTTCCTGGGAAAGAGACGGGGTTTGGGGGTGACAGCCCCGCCGGCCGTGACAGCTGCTGCTCTGTGCAGATCGGGCTGGACACGGGCTACTGGACGGCCATCAACCACTTCTTCATCTGGGGCAGCCTGGCCGTGTACTTCACTATCCTCTTCGCCATGCATAGCAACGGGCTCTTCAACATGTTTCCCAACCAGTTCCGGTTTGTGGGTAAGTCCCCGGGGCTTCCACTTGAGTCGCCAAGGAGTCACACCTGCTCTGGGACTAGCAGGGAGGCAGCCAGCCTGCACGTCGTGAGCATGTGTGCCAGGTATTCAAGGGGCTGGTGGACGGCTGGCTGCACGTGACCTAGGCGCCGCCCCCAGGGAGCTGCCATGTCCCTGAGAGTGAAGAATAGCCCTGCCAGGCTGTGCGAGGTCAGGGATCAAAGGAAGGTGAGGGGGCAGCAGGCATCGCGGTCAGCAAAGTGACTGCCTGTGGGGTGGCCAGGGATCTTCCCACGCAGGAGGCTGCTGGGAGTGGAGCCAGGATCTGCGAGGGAGATCCCAGAATGAGCTTTGCATCTGACTTGCCAGGAGCCTCTCTCTCTCTCTCTCTCTCTTTTTCCCTTGAGGAGAGACGGGGAAATGGCATCGAAGGATCACTTTAGAAAGAGGAACCTGGCAGTGGTGGGTGGCCAGCGAGGACGCTACTGTATGACTGAAGATATAGCTGTTCAGAACTGGTGCCAGGGTGGCCATGGTGGGTGGCAACGGGGCAGGCAGGAGGCAAAAGATGCGTTTGCAGGTGTTGGCTTTTTCTTTAGACCTTTTCATTTCTCCGGCCTGGGGTCATTCGGTTAGCTCCTGTTATCGGTCACCCCCTATTCCAGGTGCTGGGATACAGCACTTCACCGTCCTGGGTATCGTGTTACAACGAGGGAGACACAGAATTTACAAGTTAACAGATGCAATGTCTGGAACCGATAGGTCCTATAAAAACATCAGGCGGGGTAGGTAGAGAGGGACAAGCGTGGTCTGCCAGGAACTCTGAAGGAAGGGACATTGGCACAGAGAACGTGGCATAACGGGAATGCTCAATCCAGGAAGAAGAAACAGATACAGAAGCCTTAGGTGGGGCTTGCAAGGATGTCGTTGGCAGCGGAGAAGTGTGTGGTGTGCGCGTGTGTGGTGTTTGGTGTGTGCGCGTGTGTGGTGTGTGCGCGTGTGGTATGCATGTGTGTGTGCATGTGTGTGGTGTGCGCGCGTTGGTGTGGTGTGCGTGTGTGTGTAGTGTGCGTGTGTGCGTGTGTGTGTGTGCTGTGTGGTGTACGTGTGCGCGTGTGTGTGGTATGTGTGTGTGGTATGCATGCGTGCGTGTGGTGTGTGTGCGTGTGGTATGTGTGTGTGGTATGTGTGTATGTGTGCGCACGCGTGTGCGTATGTGGTGTGTGTGCGTGTGTGCATGTGTGGTATGCATGTGGTGTGCCTGTGCGCACACGTGTGTGGTGTGTGTGTGTGGGGTATGTGTGTGCGCGTGCATGTGTGTGGTGTGTGCACGTGTGTGTGTGGTGTGTGTGTGCGTGCACGTGTGTGTGAAATGGAGGTTGGAGAGTAGAGCTGGGGCAGTGGGCCAGAGGGGGATGAGAGTTGGTCCAGATCATTCAAGCTCATTTAGGTCCGAGGAAGAACTTGGAATTTTAATCAAACGCGGTAGGAAGCCTTTGGAGGGTTTTGAGCAGGGAAATGCCATAAACTGATTTATGTTTTTAGAGGATCACTCTTACTGCTTTGTGGATGATAAAGTACAGAGGGGAAGGTGGCTATAGCAGTAATCCAAGTGAGAACGACAGTGGCTTGGAACACAGTGGGAAGTGGTGGAATTCCCTAGGTGTTCTGGGTTTTTTTTTTTCTTTGAGGAGCCTCCGCATTTTATTAGGTATACTGCAGAAGCAGAGACTGGAAGCCGAGCAGCCAAATTTGTTATGACAGATAAATTAACCGCAGTGCGGGGATGGGTGGGGTGTTTTGAAACATGGAGCCAATGGATTAGATGCGCGGTTTGCGAGATAGATAAGTCAAGGTCAGGGCTTTTAGTGGGCGCAGCTGAGTGTGGGTGGCATTTCCTGTGCTGCGGAAGATTGGGGCGGAGGACGCAGTCGTGGGTTTTGCTTTTTGGCCCTGGTGGAATGAGATGCCAGTTAGATGTGCAGCAGAGGTGTCAGGTGAGGCAGCACCAGAAGCTGGTCCGGCGTTCTGGGGAGAGCTGGAGCTACAGTCAGGTGTGGAGATACGCATTTGGGGCGCAGGGAGGAGCGGGAAGCCAGGATGTGAGACCGGGGGTGCGGGGTGGCGCGATAGGCGTGGAGAACTGTCTGCTCTGTGAGGCCCCTGAGCCCTCTGCGTCCCCAGGTAATGCGCAGAACACTCTGGCCCAGCCCACGGTATGGCTGACCATCGCGCTCACCACGGTCGTCTGCATCCTGCCTGTGGTCGCCTTTCGATTCCTCAAGCTGAACCTGAAGCCGGATCTCTCCGACACGGTGAGACGCTGGGTGTGTCAAAGTCCCCAGCTTAGAGACTCCGTGGGGCCTTGCGTCCTGTCCTGGGTCTTGGAGCCCCCTTCGCGGCAGGGGTGGTTGTGGCGGTGTGTGACCCTGTCACACTGACAGTGGTTCCTCCTGTGTCCCCTCCGTCAGGTCCGCTACACCCAGCTGGTGAGAAAGAAGCACAAGGCCCAGCACCGCTGCCTGCGACGCGTGGGGCGCACGGGCTCCCGGCGCTCGGGCTACGCCTTCTCCCACCAGGAGGGCTTCGGGGAGCTCATCATGTCTGGCAAAAACATGCGCCTCAGCTCCCTGGCTCTCTCCAGCTTCACCGCCCGCTCCAGCTCCAGCTGGATTGAGAGCCTGCGCAGAAAAAAGAGTGACAGCGCCAGCAGCCCCAGCGGCCCCAGCGGCGCGGCCGACAAGCCCCTCAAGGGCTGAAGGCTGGGAAGGGAACACCGGGCGCCAGTGCGCAGAGCACCGGGGGCAGGCCGGCCACCGACATGACCGCGTCTGAGAACGGCGGGGCCTCGTCCCATGCCTCTCCCATCTCCCTGGTGGACTCTGTCCTGCTGGTCCCCAGCCCAGGGCCCTCCCAGCAGCCGGGAGGGCGGAGGGGGCAGGCCCGGAGGGCAGAGGAGGGGCTGGGCCGTGGGGAACCGGCCCCAGTGGGGGGACCAGATGTGGAACCAAAAATGAGAAAAAACTGTGAGAGATCGGGTCTGCCCCTGCCTTGCCTGGGAACCCTCGGGGAGACTGCAGTCTGTGTATTTTTTTACTCCCGCTCCCCACAGGGGCCCTAGAGCTCCCGTTCCTGAATTACACAAGAATGTATCACGCCGGGAAGCCAGAGGCCTGCTGGGGCCTCTGGGCCCCTCACGTCGTGTATGTCTCTCCTTGATTTGTGTTTGTGTCCACTTTGGCTTTGTCTTTTATTTGGCAAGTGGCGGAGGCCTCTACGTGACTTTTATGTTGTGGTTGGTGTCTTAACTCTGCTGGGGACGAGGACGCTGGCGCACGGGCGCCCCCACCTGGCTGGATGTGGAGTGGTTTGGAAGGCGCCACCGCTGGGCTGGCCCTCCAGTGGCAGGTGCGGTGAGGGACCGTGAGGCTGCCCAGGCAGGAGGTGCCTGTCCGCCAGAGGGTGTTGGGAGAGTATAAAGGAGGGTCTGGTCCGGTCTCCTTCCTCACCTTGAGAGTGAAGAGCTACCCCCTCCCCTACACACTCCCGTATCGACTCCTGGGTTCCGTAAGTCCTGCTGGTATTGGGCTGGAGCCTGGGCAGGTGGCCCTGTCATTCTCAGTGGCCTAAAGTTGGGTGTGAAATGCAGTTCTAAAAACCGGTTTGGTTTAATTTTAAATTCAGACCCCAGTCCATGAGCCTGAGTCCCTTGTGACTTCCATTCTCCCTCCTCATCTGGCATTTCCCTGCACCT